TGTTTTTGTGTGTTTTAGCAAAGTAATAGATTTTGTCTACCAAGGCCACTTTATTTGTATTCATCTAACGTTTGGTTCTTGAAACATAATTATTAACACTAGATGTCATGGGTCTTTGAAGAGCGGTATGATTACAACTGCCAACTTTAAACTTGTCAAGTTGTCCGAGACAGTAAATGTGTATTCGTCCCTTTTTGGCAGCGTCATTAAAGCAGTCTGTTCTGCAGTTGAATTGGTACAGGTAAACGCTACGGATGAGTAATTCTCCCATGATGGAAACATTTCCTTGGCATTTGTGTGAATGTTAAATTTAGTGTTCATTCTGTGCACAATGCAAACCAATTTGGTGTTGTGGTTTCAGTCTGGGGAAATTACTTTTAGTGAAAAACAGCAAAACGTGCAATTTTAAACCAACTAAATACATATATTTGACAGGATGAATGACAATTGAACTATTAAGTTAAAAAAATAATTACGTGGTCCACTTACTTAACAAAATGTCCGTTTTGTTTTAGTCGGTTAAAAAAAACATGGACACAATGAATAAAACTAATTAGTTAGGTTCCTGAATTTTCCCTTCAACAATATTTCAAGATTGCCACAGATACACGGTTTATGCTCAGTCTCAACAAACGGGAACCAATTCAAGGCAAACCAAATCATTTTCACTTTAAGGACTTAAATGGTAATCTTATCAATCTAATCTCGTTTCATCGCCTTGTTTTCCCCAAGATTCAAGCTTCATTTGCAAGACAACCAATGTTAATAGCAGATTGCGAGGCTGGCTCTGAATACAGATTTTACATGTCTTGCATCCATCAACTCGTTTTTCCTGTTAGTTCAATTTGTCATGTTCATTATGATAAATTTAAGGGGTCGAAAAAGAAAACCTGAGAATGGGCTTAGTCTGAAAGATGCCTATTGAGAGGAATGGCTCTCATAACAACAAGCTGATGAGGGCTACACATTCCTGGTCACTGCAGTGGTTGCGCAACAACCTAATTAGTCACAGAGCAGGTGTTTAGCAAGGTAATATATCATTTATGAAATTAAAAATTTCTCTACCTTTCATCAATGATGTATGGGCCCTATTCGCAGTGAACCCTTTTATGATCAGCAACTCTCAGAACAGCCTACACTCATCTGTCTTTACATCTATGTTTTCTGTACCTCCGTAACGCTGTGATTTTTATAGTTCATAAACATTTCAAAAGCCACAATTTCAGATCAGTTTAAGATTTTCTACATTGTGTGGACTGTTGTGTCGCGTTACAATTGTATCGATTGTGTCGCGTCAGTTGGCTGAATTGCCGCATGTCGTCCTGTTTTACCTCAGCAAGCTGTCAGCGGAGAGGAAAGTGAAAATGGAGTCAGTGTGAGACCGAGCAGTATGAGTATGAACAGATCCAAATTAGAAGATGGATGTTGCGGAGTCTTTGCATGAGCTCCTTCATGCCTGAAACAGGAGTGTGGATTTTAAAAAAGGTGTGAAGGAAAAAATTGTGAAAAATGGTTTGCTTCCAGGGGAAAAAAACTCCAGTCTGTCCAGCTTTTCTGTGTGATCGTGTTACTCCTGGGGGGAGGAACCGGGAGACTTTGGAATACTGATTGGATTCAGGGATTTGGCTTCTTGGTTTTAAAGTGAGGAACTTCTTCTGAAAATTTAACTCAAAGAAGTCAATTTACCTCCAAAATCACACACAAAGCAGTCACCTAAAAACAAACAACTGCCATTCCCATCTGCAGTGTTCCCTCTTTGACAGAAATGTATTCCTCCTGGCTGGCTGGATGAGGGGAAACATGTCTGGCTGTGTGCATCTTGAAGGAATTCAAAATTGGTTTGATACACCCTTCGCAGAATTAATGGCCCAGATACACTCTGCATCTCATGGCAGTTGGGTCTATATGGGTCTGCTTCCAGCCCCAAAAGCACAGCCCTACTAAAAAGGGCTGAGTGGTTGTGGATGTTTCCAGTCTCAAATAAGGCCAATCTGTGAAATGTCAAGCCTTTTTGGGGGCATTAGTTAGATTATGACTGGCAGATTACAGTATTTGGAAAAGTAATTGTCCCCAGGTGTCACGATCATCCAAAGCTTATTCTCCACCCCCGTGATTCTCAATAGTAGAGATTAAGCTCGGAGGAAAATCTCCTCCCTCGACAGAAGGAAGGGAAAAATAGGTCCGGGCAGGCACAAACACACTAAGTATGTGTAGCCAATCAGCTTTCTGCTTCATCTGAGCATCCTGTTCCTCTGGGCCACGGGATCCTGGAAAAGAAAAGTCCTCCTTTTTTCCCCCGGGCCCATAATACCTGCATGATAACTGCCAGCTGCAGCAACCAAACTCAATCCCACCATCTCAATGCCCCACACACACACAAAGCACACACTGGCCCGAGAACAGTTGGTGTGTGACAGGTTGAAGCTCTTTAGAGCCCCCTGCTGTGCTGATAATGCCTATACTGCATATACAGTATGCACCGCATGATGCTGCATATCAAAGAAAATGTGCTATGTGTTGGTGAGCTAAAAAAGAAAATGATTATCTGAACCCCTTCTAATTCAAAGTTCAACTGGTCACACTTCTTTTTTTTTTTTTACAATGATATAATTTCCTACTAATGTCTCAGGAAAATTAACTTTTAGTTTATTTATTTCAACACCACACTTGTTAAAAAATCCTTGTTTTTCTATTTTTGCCTGTTTTGAAACATTATTAATTCTCTTTTAGCTGATTTCTTGTTTAAACTCATTTCCAATGATATGAACAAATGTCAAGCAAAGAAATCCATGGAATACATCACCAAATGTGGTCTTAACACAAAATATATTTTGTTATGGGGAGATATCTGCCAGTAATCTATTAAAAATACAATGAAAAAGCCTTGTGCTGTCATAGGGCTGAAACTGCTCGTGTAGGGGTTACACAGTGTGTGCATGACCGGTCAAGCGTCATCCATTACAGTAAATCTGATTTTATAGTTGCACTTTTATAGTGACTTAATTAAGAATACAAAGGCCAGGCTTTACCTTTTGAACACAGGCTTCAATAGGGCCTTGGGATCACTTTTAAGACAATAGCACAGATTATTTACATTCTGCGCATCAAATCAGCCATCACAGGGAGTGGGGGGGGGGGGCGTTCTCCATGCTTGACTGGGGATTGTTGTCCTTTTTGATCTTGGCCTAGCGCGGACAACAATTAGTGGGCAAACAAAACGCCGTCCGTGAGGAGAAAAATGCGACTTCAGTGCCGAGTTATCAAACACTGCAACAAATCGTTCTGCTCATGCATGAAAAGAGGAAAAGCATCTTTGTGGACATTTTTCTCAGACAAAAATCGCTTGATTTTGCAGCGTGTTCCTTGAGACCATGCAGACTATGTAGAATTATTAAATAAAAAGCTAAATGCAATTGTTTTAGGATTGAATGCACTGTATTGATTTTATCTTTGTAATTGCTCAGTTTGGCAGATATTCCTTCTGTGCTTGGGGCCGTCCTTTGTTCGGAAACATTCTAAAATATCCCAAACATGCTACAGCAGCCTCTACTTCTAAACACTCAAAGCAAAAGTATTTGTTCCTAAATGTACACTAAACAGCTTTGGCTCTCCTCAGAGGCTTTAGCTTTTGTTTTCTAATACCAGGGCTGAAGCTTTGGAAAGCTTTTCAAAGCTTGAAGATTTTTGTCTCCATGAAAACTTGTGTCAATCCCCAGACACCGCTCAAAATCTGTTCAAGCTCCTCTCGTTTCTCCTATTTTTCAAAACTTCACCTGTACCACTTCATTAGGGTAATTTATCATTAAACTGGAAAGGACGATCAGCATAGTAACAGCCCACCTCTCTCCAGTAGCGGGAAGTATAGCAAGATCATTTCATTCTGCGGGGTCCTGGGGCTTCTCAGTATAATTAGATGGAAAGCTAGAAAAAACAAAAACAAAAGCCGGACCAAACTTCTAGATTAATGGAAGTGGGCAGCTCGGCCGTCACTTTGCATTCTGACAATTCATCTGCATCGCTGGTGACAAGTTCATAAAGGTTACATTTGATCCTCTTCTTCAAAATTAATGAAGACAGCTGGCACAAGCGGCATACAATTTGACCCGATCGGGAACCCGCAGATGGTTATGCGACATCGGCTGAAAGCTGATCAGCTGAATGATTTCATATCTGAGCCGCGATTGGCGGAACAATGCAACAAAAAAAAAACTACCTTATCACCCGATGAGCGCAGTGTTTTACCGGATTAGCAGCTACCTGTGATAGTATGTGGTCAGAAATGTGGTCTGTTGTCACACACACAGTGATATCATGATGTTAAGACTAAATATGTCCGCTGTAAAGATGGAACTGAATGTTTGATGACAGCAAAACAAGAACTTCTGGAGTCTCAGTTGCTCTTTTCTTCTTTTTTTCGACTGATGCACTGCACAGCGCCCTAAATATTAATGTCACAATACAATAATGCCTTCAGATCACAAGCCTTCCCATTTCTAATAAGACAGAGAAACATATGGGCCCAAGTCTGAAAGCTTCCGATCAGCCCTGAGCTAATGCGGCATAAAATTAATCATTCTGCAAACATGCTGCAACTCAACACCTCAGTGACAAGAAGGAAACCTTTTCAGTACAGTATGTTTCACCTTCTCAGTGTGTGATTGATGAATAGCTCTATTATAATCATACCCCTATCACCGCGTAATTAGGCTAATCAAGTCACACTTGAAAAAACAAGAGATGTAGCCAAGTGAGCACCACAGATCTTAAAACAGTTGGTTTAATTTGAGCATAAGGAACTGAGTGTGCAATCTCACTGAGATTACTTCATCGGTGTGGGTTAAGACAAATGTAAAGACATACAGCAGGTTAAAATAAATAAGAACAGTGTAGTATGGGCTGAGAAAGTCTTGTAGCGAGAAAAACACAACCAACTATTCAGTCCTTTTAGTGGAGGCTTAAAAAACAAATTTGGTTAAGTCTTTTTTTTCTGCTATGCTTCTTCATTCCCACCACGTATCCATCCGCCGTACACGCACCCTCTGTTTATAGTGGTATTCTTTCAAGTGTTTTTTCAAAGCATTTGGAATTGGGAGCAAGTTTATGCCATCATAGGTGGTACAGCTGCTTATGACTGCCCTGCAGATGCGCTGCAAGCTAAAAGGCTGTGTGCGGTGGATGGGGTTTGACAGGAGGGGCTCAAAGAACATGCAGGAGTTGGGATCCTTGTAGTGCTCTAACAACCCTGTGACTGTGGGAGCGTGGAAGACACTGGGATCGTGAACATCGAAACTGAAATTGTGGTTCCACTGTTCGATGCGAGCATGAAGTGAGCGCCCATAGCGTCGGAAGCTAACAGAGAAGAGGTAGTCTTCCTGGGCCGAGTCGCGCAAGAGGAAAGTGCCCTCTGGCTTCCCCTCCAGCAGCGTTTCTGCCTCGTAGCGGTCCATGACTCCCCAGTAACATGTGAGGTTGGTGATCCGCAGCAGGTCTGGGACTAAACAGTGAATGTAATCTATCTGAGTGTGAACACGGTAGCCATCATGACATTGCTTTTGCTCGGTCGGAGGAAACATGGCTCTGGAAGTCATGCTGGTGGCTGTTTCCTCTTCGTCGACCACAGGGTCAGGGGCTATGTCACAGCTGTGGACGGAGGCCGACGCTGATGCCACAACCTCATCAAGAGTGTCTAAACAGCTCTGCAGTAGGAGTTGGTGTTGCTGTTGTCTTTGGAGAAGAAGCTGCTGCTGTTGATGTGCAGAGGTTCTGTCCGGCCCGGTTAAATCATTCATCCCATGAGCCAGCTTAGGGCCATGCTTGTAGAGAGGGTTAATTTGAGCTGTCACCTCAAATGTATGGATCTCTGCATTGGGTGGTGGCTCCACGCCTTGTTCAATGCTGATGCGCCGGCGTTCTCGTAACCTATCATCTACATCCTCCACCACAGGAGGGAGGGTGGAAGCTGGAGAACTGCAAACTACTGGAGAATCTAGCAGGGGAGGCTGAGTAATGGGGGCCGTGTGTTGCTTAATGAGATACCATTTCTGAGCCAGCTCTGATCCTACAGGGAAAGGGCAGTCATCCAACATCAGCTCACTGAGATGGATTTTCCGCCTGGAGGAGGCACAGGGAGCCGACGCTGGAAAAGCCGGTTGTGCTGATGCGGGTGCTGCTGCACTGTGTGTCTTTATCGGGAAACACTGCCCCATGGCATCTTGGATTTTTTGCCTGAGAGTGCGACTGCTGCTCGCCCCTCTGCCATCTGCTTCACTGACAGCAGGTAACTCTGTAGCCACGCTAACCACTCCGACGCCCGGTCTGGCTGGAAATCCCTCCTGCCCGAGTAACAATGCTGTGGCGTCCAAGCCCTGCCATTTCCAACTCTCCCTCTGAGGAGAGGACGAAGTTTGGTGTCTGGCATCCAGTTCGCTCAGAAGTTCTCCATATTCAAAGCCGTCGCTCACAGGCCGCTCAGCTGCTTTTTCATGAGAAGAGAGATTTTTCTTTTTCCCCTTTCCACCTTTCCGGCCACCAACTGCATCTCGCCTTTCTTCTGAGCGGCTTTGTCTCACCTTTGGACGGGCTCCCCTCTCCCGTTCTTTACCTCTGTTTCCTGACTCTTTTGGCAACGACATTATGAGGACTTGGACCAGCAGTTATCTTTGAGCAAACCTAACCATAGTTCTTGTTTGAAGTGCTCTCATCATGATCCAATCATAGTGGCCAGTCAAACATTAAGCCTGCAAAATAAAAGAAAAAAAGATTAACCTTAGAATAAACATTCTAAAATAAACCTAAAAGAGTTACTTTCCCACTTTTGGTAATGTACTCTTGGGGATCTATTGCATGCACTAATCTAAAACTGATGCAACTGAAACAGCATAGTGCTCTGAAGTAACTTAATGAAGACTACAAGACAGTTTAAAAAAATTGAAATTACACCTGACTTTTTCCATTGCCAAGAAAGGTGCCGATTGCATTCAATTTATAAACATATCTTTCAGATCAGCAAGAGAAAAAAGACCAGCATAAACTACAACTGCAACATTTATGGTGCTTGACTTGTGCAAGACAATTAATTTTGTTGCTCGAAAGAGGAAGACCGGCTGTTTTATCAATGTTCGAATGTTATATTAGTTTTACCTTAGCTTTTTCTTCAATTCATTATATGAAAATGATCAGTCATCATGCAGTAAGTATTTCAGTACATTTATACAATCTGAGTGAATAACTGAAATCAGACTTTTGGAGGAAAGAAAAGTTTTTAGGACATAGTAATGGATTAGATTGTCAGTGAAGTACTAACGTTGACGTTTACACCAGCTTTGTTTGATAAAGTTATCTAAATAATCGTGCTGAATATAAAAGTGGGTAAATCATTGCATAATCAAATGCCTATAATTTGGCAAAGAATTACAATACCGAAGACAATTTGAGTTGGTCTCCTCTACATGATTTTTTCTTAACGTCAACCAATTCTTTTAAAGTTTTTGGAAGTTAGCAAAATACTGACATCATCTTTAAACTGACAGACATAGCCAGACAATTTTAACGAAAAACAAAACAAAAAAACAGTAACTGAAGTTTCCCAATGTTATTTTTCTTTTACTAAAATATTATTTAAGCAACATTGACTTTGGTTTTCCCTGTTTAACTCTTAAAATGAGGAATTATGTTGAAGTGATTAATCATATCAAGCAATATACATCAACTGGCTGCTAACAAGAGATTATGGACTGATGAAACTGCATATATAAACTTTTGCTCTGAAACAAGACTAGTACCTACTGGCGGAAAAGGTTTATTTAATTTGAAATTATTCCGCACTTCTTTTGACTCATTTGTAACTTTGAAGAAAGAAATAAATTAACATTTTAGGATGCGCTACCGAGCTAGCATCTTAGCAAGCAACTGTTTATTCTCAGAGGCTAAGTTAGCAGAGCAGCTAGCACTCAGTTAACTTGGATACTCTCTTCTTTAGCATGGAAGGTTCAAACGCACCTAGAAAAGCTTTTACTTACCCTTTACTGCAATAACACGAACTGAGAACATACCTCAATTACTTGTCGCGAAGTTTCCCTGCGAAACAGACAGCCTTCCTTGTTTGATAAACTAATGACGTTAACGGCAAAGGCGGCTACATAGCATTAGCTCGACGAAACACGAAAAAAAGGGAATCGTGTGACCCGGAAGTGAAAACATGATTTGTTTTATTCTGCTAGGAAAAAGGGAAAAATGTCTTTAATACTCCTTTTTTTATCAAGCAAAAGGCGTGTGTGAATTGCAATAATAAGATGGACAAAAGCACAGGCCACAAATTGAGTTGCAAAAGAACTGAACCTCTTTATTTGGACTGTCCATGATCCGACCGATGTTGCACTCAGACCATTCAAACATATGAGTGACAGTAAAAAAGAGCGTAAGCATGTGATGCAAAAAGTTCACAAAATATTAGAAAATGTTTGGGGACGTTATTAGAATTAAATAGAAATTGTACAAGACAAATATGTGCAGTGTAACCTACAGCTGGCTGCATTAATTAAAAAACTACAAGCCTGGCAGGGACATCATCATGACCACTTGGTTTTTGTCTCCATATGACACAGGCTGTGTACCTCCAACGGGATGGCTGGTATGTTAAAATACACCAGGATAAACTTGTGAAGTGCATTTCCCAACTCGTTTCACGCATCACTGGAATGTAAACATGGAGTAAACAAATTCCTTGGCCTGTTATTAGTGTTCCGTTTACTCATTATTACATCATTTGTGGCTCAGATAAGCATTGTCAGCCCCTGCTGCATCATTATTATGAACCCATTTGAAGAAATCTATATTGTACCACTGTGTTGATCTGAAATAACAGGTAGGCAACAGAGGCAATGAAAAGGAAAATCTGAGCCATTTGTAGCAACACAGTTGACACACAATATAGTGAGTAGGTAAAAATAAGACAGCCAGTCTTAAGCCAGCATTGTTAACTCGCTGTAGTCCTTTGTGGACATGAGTGTGATGCTTTTACTGAAGTCAGATCTATCCGAGAGCCTGCTCTGAAGAAATCCATGACTAGACTACAACCACTTCTAAAATAAACATATTGAGGATAGTGGAGCTGAGCATTTCAGGCACCATATGAACAGTTCATCAGGACATGACAGCTAACAGTTTAATCATAAGGCTAGAGGAGCTACTCGCTCTCATCACCGCATGACCAAAAAGCAGGTGTTACGTGCCTCACACGGGTACAATTTGAAAAATCTACTGAGACTCATTTGGAGTCCTCAGATTAAGGGGGGGGGGGGTAGAAGCTTTGTTTCCAGTCTCTACCAAGCCACCCCCTGTGTGAGAAGGCTTCAGTTCTTTAATGCGTTACATAGTGAGACAATGGGTTACTCATGACGACACATAAAATTAATTGAGCATTATCCCAGAGAGATGTAAACAGTGACATTTAGGCGATATAAACATACAACATTAGTTGCAAGATTTCTGTTCTCTAGCTGGTGGTGACGCCAGGCACCATCAACCATCATGTCCTCTATCTACAACAGTGCTGTATTAGTGTGGCAAAACATGCGATTATAGAAAATAAGCATAAGTTATCAATACCAAGGGAGAGTAAAAAATACAATTGGAAAAGATATCTGTAAATAACCATCTTTACTAGACAGACCTCCTATGGCTCTGCTGAAATAATATGTGAATGGTTTTCCCTGCCTTTTGAAGCAACCAAAAGTGATCCAAAGTTAAGACCATATTACACATACATGCACCTCCGGCTCTGCCACATTCAAAGACAGAGGATGTATAAGACAGTTTTTGATTCAACACTGATACCACATGATAATGTTAGGGCTCTGAGACTCAAACACACTGAGACAAAAACAGAAAAAAATGGACATCGTCAAGCACCTTGGAAACTATGATTCATCAAATCATCACATTGGCCATTTGAGGGAGAGGGCACTGCGAGGTTGAGATGATGCACTCTTAGCACTAGTTACACGATCAGGCTTCATTTTCCAAAACCAATCAAAAGAGAGCCAGAGGGCTGAGGCAGGTTTCATTTAGCTTTCTCTCCCAGCATTTGATTGTAAATTGAAAACATTCTGGTGTCTTTGCTTTTACCAATTCAACGTCAAATCTGCGCTCGTGCAGTGCAAACCTCACCAGCCCTTACTAACCCGTGTGGGTTCCCCGGCACAAAGTGAGATTCATCATCATTTGTATAATAGGAGATAAAAACAAAGAAAGGACAAATTGCAGCTGGCCTTAATTCATCAAACCGCTGTTCTTTTACAAAAAAAAAAAAAAGTATACCATTCTGCCGCAATTCACAACAAATACCTATCTCAAATTAACAATCGCACAACCCTTCTCTTTGGCTTTGTAGAAGTTTAGAGGAGGACAGTCACTTCTACTTAGACTATATGTTCAGGGAACTAACCACAAAAAAGTATACCTTGAGTTGCATTACAAACTTTTCCTCAATTCTTTTGATCCTCCCTTTTCTGACGTTTACACAAAGACATTTGGGAGGACAAAAAGAATCATGAAAAGCAATCTAAGGTTTACCCCCACACAAGCCCTGACTAGCACTGCTTACAGGATTTGCATGGCCAGAGCTCAACATCTGTCTAGAAGAGGAACGTTAGTGTGTACCATGAGGCCAAATACTTCAGTGCCCAATATCAAAGTTCATCTAATAAAAAAAGTGCCCTCTATTTGGCTGGATATTTTTCGAATCTACAAATTATGCAGAGCGACGGCTGTGGCCGTCAGTGTTGTGGGTAGAAAGCCTTGTTCCAAGGCATCAGGAAAAGAAGAGCTATTAGGGGCAGAAGCCTTTGAAGACAGCACCAATCCACTGTTTTTCTCTCACTGTGGTAAACTGAGCCTCTGCACGTCATGCCACAGTCCTGCAGGTGACATGGTGCAGCGGATACAGTTAACCTTTTTTCTGTTCTACAATATAATATTCATCTGTATTCCATTTTTAATAAACTTAGTTGTATATAATAAAGTACAAAAATATTAAGAGAACATATACACAGTTTTTTTGTCATATTGTAGTGACTGCTTTGCCTGGGTTTCTGAAGCATACATATATCTTTGTGCTGAACTGAACGGGCCTCAACCAAAGTTTATTTCTCTTTTCTTCATATAGTTGATGTCCGGTCTGTTCCATCTGAAAAAAGGAGAAGGAACAATCAGAAAATGCCATGATGCACGTGTTATTTTGTTTCACTTTCTATTCATTCTGGGACAATTATTTTACCATATTACTTTAAACATATATCATGGTATTCCCACCACTGATGGCATTTAAGGCGATATAAAATACTACAAGTTGTGCTTTTTCGTCCACCCTCTTTTCTCTGTCCCGAAGTTCTTGTTCCGCTCATTCTTTTTGGAATAAAATTCTTCATGGTACATTTAAATGTTTAGTCTGTCCAATTTCTTTTGGCAATAGACCGAAGACATTGTAAAAACTCAAGGTTATATTTGGTTAAACATTGTAAAAACACATTCATAACCTTACCATACATGTCTCTGGGAGAGGAGAAAAAACTGTTTTAAAGGACAAACTTCATTTGATGCACAAAATTCACGATATAATATTACAGAACTATTTAGCTTTAAACCCTGAAATCATACAGCATACAGTAAAATGTGATTTCCACCATATCAGGGTCTGGTAGTGGTTTCGACACATCAGCCTGTCCACAGAGATTTTACATTTCATAGAAACAAAACAATGTAGAACAAAACACGTCAGGTAGTTTACTAATGATCAAATGATTTGTGTCACTAAATATCTCTGACTGTTTTGTTTATTTTGTCCTATCAGCAAAACCTAAGACTAACACCAATCTCAGGTGAGCACACCATGCTGCAAAGCAAAACGCTGTTCTGTTGTTAACTTTACCATTGAGATTAAATCTGTGCAGGAAATTTAAAAACAGCAGAAAATATCCATAGAGAACCAGACCAAATATCATCATGTCAATTTTATCCTAATAAATAAGTAAGAGCCCCAATAATCCAGTTATCAGTTTTTTAAACACCCCAAATCATAAAAATAGTTCTCCACGGGGGAAATAAAGTTCTGTCAATTTTCTCATTGAGCAAATATACTATATAATTAAGTAGTTCTCTCCAAATGAGTCACTGCATGGGTTTAGCCAACCTGTTGCCTATTTAGTATTGAGCTGGGAGGACACTTACCCCCTAAGGCATGCTCCGTCATACTGAGGCACAGTGACTCCAGCGTTGGGTTAATCTCCAGGTCAGCACCTGGAACTTGGCATTCTTAAAAATAAAAATAAAAATTGTAAACATTTTGGGGAACAAAACTATCTTAGTCCTCAAGAACATTTGGATTTTTTTTTTTGTTTTTTTTTTTAAATCACAGTCTTCTGCTTATAAGGATCAACCGAGAGAAAAACCAACAACATACTCCAAAATCAGTTACAAGTTGTTCATACAATTCATTTTCAATGTTTTGAGCTAACCACATCATAAAATCCTATTAAAGTGACTGGCTCTACTGCACAAGCCAGTGCAGTGTGATGCCCGCCTTGTAATAAGCATGTAGTATTTACTAATAAATCATTTTTTGTTGTTTTTGTGGTCAGCATTAGACAAAGTCTTGGTTTTCACTAGTTCACTAATCAGAAAAACAGTTGTGGCCACCAGCATCTCTGGTTTTTTCTCTTTATGGGTGTAAACTTAAACTTGAAATTCTTCAAAGTAATTCATAAGACATGGGGTTGAATCTCATTAATTAACACATTCACGCGAAAACATTAATTGCACAACAGCAATGCATAATTTGCAATGAGGGTGACTGTTGCAACAAGCAGTATCAGAGTAATCTTTTCCACAGCACTGAACAGGATTAGCTCTTTATTAACGACAGAATAACAGATTTCTCTATTTTATCAAAACTAAAGTAATTTATCAGGCTGTGCTTGCAAAACCAAAAAGATCTATTCTACCACTCTCAATCCATCACTACTAATTAACATTTTACCCTAAAGTAAACTATTTCAGGCTTATAATTCCAAGTGGATTTCAAACAAAGGCTTTAGAAGAGCAATTTGTGTGTTATGTTAAATTTGACTAAATATCGACGGTAAAAGATGTCTGAAATTAAATACAAGAATATGATATATTCACAAGTAAACAAAGATATACATTTTCTGTGGGTGAGTGTATTGAGCTTTGCCAATGAAAGATGTCTTTGACCTTGCACAATACCTTGCTGCTGGAACATGAGCATAGTCTGCGGGGATGTGTGGACTGGGAGGGAGTGCGTCCGCTGCACTGAACTGCGACTCTGACTTGGCATGCTGTTACTGCCCCCAGGGTTAGCAAACCACAGGTTCTATAGAAGGACAAAAACAACTTGACGGAAAGCCAAGAAAGGCCTGAACCATATGTTTTATACTATGTATCCCATATTTTGTTCCATTAATTCCATCCATCCATCCATCCATCCATCCATCCATCCATCCATCCATCCATCCATCCATCCATCCATGATAAACCAGCTCACAAAAAAAACTTGAACAAGTCCAAAGTGAAGATTTGTCAATTGTGTGAATTTGTGTGAAACAAAAACATACACGTCATCATGGTTGCTTAAGTATCAGTCCGCTGTCAGCAATACTAACTTGTCTACCCTGGCTTGTAAGAGCAGGATTAGTAAGTGTGTGTCGTGGCGACACTCCCCCCATCCCTCCAGGAAGACACATGCGTCCAGCTGGGAGTCCACGAGGGGGCATTTGAAACTGCCTTTGGCCTCGTCGCCCCACACCTCCACTCACAGAGCCTGCTGTGGGGAGGGAGTTTGACCCATAGTTCCAGCTGAAAATACAAAACAGCAGGAAGGAAACATAAATTATAAAATCAGTAGAAAAAAAAAAGAAGATTGGTCATCTTCTGAAACTTTTCCATATGAAAGGACATTAATGATTCTGAGGAAAAGAGGATGAAATAAAAAAGGGAAGGTGAATCAAAGAAACAGAAAGTAGACTATGGCAGGAAGAGTGTTACAATAAGCTAATGTGACATCCCTGCTGCATTAAAGGGAGATCAAAGGTAAGAGAAAGCCAGCAGTCTCACCCTTTCTGTCGGTATGCAGGTATGTCCAGCATAGCTTTTCGAGGGAACATGCGCAGCAGCTTGAGGACCTGCTGCTTCCAGGTGACCAGCCTCTTCTTGTGAGTTTCAGTGAAAGCCTGACAGACAAAGAGGAAGAAAAAAAATGTAATGGATTATGTTGGTTGTGATTTTTTAAAGCAAGAAAAGGGTAAGTTTAATTTGAAGGAATGAAAACTTTTTGTGTTTTTTTTTTGTCTTAAATATCTGTAGTGAGAAAATCTCTCCAATGGCAACTGCAGAAAGGCTATAAAGATCATATTGACCTTTAATATGTTGCGTGTGACAGGTATATGTGCAATTAATGATAAACTATTCACCAAAAAAGAAAAGGTAAGAACCAAAACTGCTCGAACAGTTGATGTGTTTCAGAAGAAACAGATATCCGTCAGACAGGATTTACTTTTGCACAGATTGAAGTGAAGAAAAAGGATTTTCTAAACACTAGGAAACACTAAGATAATACTGAGACTGACCTACTAACACTAAAAATACTGATAAATTCACAACACTGAACAAAGGTTCAACAACAGCTGGCCAGAATATACACACAGCCAAAAACAGGGTGTGGATTTAAATAAGCTAATAATCAAAAAGCTGCTTTAAATGGTCTGTAAGAGTTTCAGAGACAATCACGGTTTCAGCTGGTCCTACAAAATAGTGCGTGACTTTGTTAAGTTTGGGGGCAGCTTTTCACCTCATGTGTCAGACACTTCTCAATAAGTTGAAGGTAACAGCTGATATTTTCCTCGTCTGGCCTCGACACTAGCAGCTGGGTACACACTGAAACAGAAAAGGAAAGTTTTATAAGAGGTTAAGTACAAGTAGCTGATGGTGTAATTTAAGAATCTTTCTTCCATCTATGTTTATGGAAAAAAAAAAATACAATACAGTCTACCAAAAAAAAAAAATAATCCCACCCCTATATGTTATGAGTTATGAAAACAGATTACACAACCAGAAATATGGTATGCATCCCACATCCAATGAGCCTCAATGTAGAGGGGGGAGAAAACATTGTTTTCCTACCTTTACCCATTACACGGGTGAACTGTCCAGGAATGTCACCATCTGAGATGGGCGTGACTGACGAGTCTCCATCACAGGGAGTTGGGTTGTGGGACTGGAAGCCTTCTGGTGCCGAGTCTTTTTCTGCTCCAGATTTTGTGATGTCTGACTGGGAAGTGGTGGAGTCTGAGGCAGGCGGTGCTGCACTGAGGAGACTGTAGACCTTAATTGGCGTGATGATGATCTGCTGAAGCTCCTGCAGGGCATTGCGCAGGTTTCCACCTTCCAAAATGTCCTGACAAGTGCACAATTGTTCTATTACAGGCTGTGTGCATTATTCAGAAAAGTCTGAATTTGAGTGGCAGGAGAACGATGAAAGCAAAACAAAACATTTCTTTGCTGCAGACTTGTATTTAATATTTGGTGAAGCAAACATTTGACCAAATGCTCATGATGAAGAGTGAACTCTGCTCAATGTCTGCTTCTATGCCACGTAGCAGAATAGGAATTTCCCAAAGGAGATAATTCAAGTTTCACATGATCATCACCCAGAATACTCAAGTGTCTGCTTTTTTTTAGCCAAACCATAAAAAAGTCATCAGGAAAATAGCATTGCCTCTTTTAACCATGACAAGACGATCATTCAAATTACCTTTTCTAAAGACTTGAGTACACTCTGCCTCTCTCGCAACTTCTGGATGCTCAAGGCAATCTTATGCCGCGCTCCTTTAGTAACATTCTAAAGGAAGAGATGGGAATTAACAAGATGATATGAGAAGTCATCTCTTTTGGAGACACTAGGCAATTTATACAGTTAATAAATAAGAAACCTAATCACCATCTGTTTCATTAGAGCCAAGGGGCAGAGTCAAAAAGAAACACCTAATTTGTGTTATGTGTGACTAGCACAATATAACTGTAGGGTGCATTGTTTAATTTCATGCCTCATTGAGAGCTGATGTATCATCGAGAATGAAGAAAAGAATGAGAGGCCCTGTTGAGAAATCAAACTATAGGACCAGTGAAGGTAACAAAGAGGCTTAAACACCTGGGACTCTAGATGCTGCTCTGTGAGAATCATCATTTCCTCATAAGTCATCTGTGAGAACAGGGATGCATATTTATGAAGGCGGAGACTCTTCAACCATGCAGGAACATCTAGAAAAAATTGGGAAAAGACGAATAAAAAACTACACAAATAACATTTATGTGCTATGGCTTATATAACCACAGCTGATGATGTGTACAACTTTAACACAGAGCAAGAAGAGCTTTGGCCTTATGTATGTAATGAACTGACCTTTCATGCCACTGCCATCCTCCTGGAAGGTGTTGCGACTGGAGCCTTGATCTTCTGTTTGTTCACTTCCTGAGGAAGCTACACTACTCTGGGGTGATAGGGGTGCATGGTCTGTTGAGATAAAGTTCTGCCGTCCTCCTGTATCATCTTGACTTATCCATTCAGAGCCACAAGTGTGGAGGCTGGGAGGAATAATGGACATGGATTTCGTCAGAGGGCTTGGCTGCATCTGTCCAACCAGACCTGGAAAGGAAACAACAAAGTAGTAGCATCCCTTGGTAGAGAAATAAACGGGAATCGTCATAATTAAAATTGTTATCTGCAGCATATCAATATGTCCACAAGTAACAGTAAGAGAACTATTTTAAAAACCTGAATTATTGCTGTTAATAGGTGAAGACATCCCGCCTGGAAAATTCATATGTCCATTTTGGCCAGATGGCGACGTGCCAGATGTAGAGGACTTGTCATGCCACGCACTGCCAGGGTCAAGAGCTTCAGCAGAACTTGGCCATTCATCTGAGCCCTGGCGTGGATGGTATGGGCTGGAAGGTGCACGGGGGGCATAGCCGCCTGAAAGGTGCTCCTCCAGGTGGTTTAGCCACATGGCCAATGATGTCCGGTCATCCAACGTGGTGGCAGGGTGGATGAGTGCGTAGGAGAGCAGCTGTCTGCTTTCTTCCACAAAGAGGCTACTCTCAATAGTGTGACTCAACACCTTCTGTAGGAGTCTCATGTACTCACATTTTGCCTCGCTGTTGCGTGGCTGCAGCAGAGGCAAATGTGACAACAGCAAGGACACAACTTTCTCTTTTGGCTCCTGATGCCACTGGCTGACAATTGCTGAAGAGAAAGTACACATATTTCATTAGACATTGATAACCTATTAGGTATTAAATAGTGTTCTTTTATGAGAAAAAATAACATTTCATAATCATAAGAAGATTACTAATAAATCACTGAACTTCTTTCAAAGCTACCTGCATTGTTGGCCTCAGCTTCAAGGATGTGGATCTCTGTGCAGTCTGCCAGCCAGTGTTCAAGGCAGATGTGTAAGAAGCGAGCTTGGGTGCGGGACACTCTCTTCAGGAGTGACAAGAGTGCCACCGTCTGTTCACACTCATTCCAGCCTTTGAACCAATCTGTGAGGATACCTACCTGGTCTCGGAACATCATGACGTGTCTCCTTGCTCAGGAGAACCAGAATGTGGAGATTGGGAGGGGCTACTGGTTAGACTGTTTTCTCCAAAAGAGATAGAATGAGTCCAGCCCCGCACAGCGGGGTTATTGTTTCAACAGTCCTGGGATCCCCTCAGACTGGACCGAGGGGCCCTCACATGGTTCAGGTGCTGGAGAAACTGCAGACAGTGTGCTGGATTTTAGCTGAGTGGATTTGGAGGACGATGTCTTGAGGCTTAAAGTGTGTGTCAACTGCAGTAGGTGATGACACAAACATAAAAATCTCTTTACTGTGGCATGTTCAGATCACATCTCCTGTGCCCTATTGAATCAACAAAAAACAAAAACAAATCTTAGATGGCAATTCACTAAATATCAGCCTCATTTTTAACTCAAAGTCTGTTAAGACAATCAGGTTTAACTGTATTTTTCATGGCACAAAACATGTATCTATACAGAAAGCATCCATCTTCTCAGCTGGTGTAAGTTTGCAATATATGTTTCTTCTACTCTCAGTAGTTTGTTGTGGAGAGAGACTTCCGACTTTAAGTTAAAAACAAAGGCTGATTATTTCAAATGAATGTATAACGGAGAATGAGATCCGATGATCTTTCCTGAGTGTACAAAGACAAAATATGCTTCAGCAATAGCAGCTCCAACAATTAATACCAGCAGCCTGTAACTGTCAACAAAGCATAGCAGCAGTAAGGAAAGCCACACAAAACTGGTGAAGGTGAACTATTAAACAGAAACAAAAGTATTCCTATATGTGCATACCATCTTTAAACACTCAAAATACGTTGTAAAATCAGACTCAATACAATAAGAGATAGAAAGAAATATATGTGGAAACAAGGTAACTAGATGTTGCTCAAGCTGCTTGTGTCATGTCATGATGACAATGGCGCATACATTTACAGAAGTAATACTTCTGACACTTAACCAAAAATCTGCTGCAATCAAAAGAACCTTGTGTGTGTAATGTAATAAAAACGCACGTTAACCATAACTCGACAAAAGGAAAGCACAGCCATGCTGTGTAATCACAAACCAGCAAAGGTAACGATATCATTATATACATGTCAAACCTGCTAACTCTGAACTCGGTAGGCGGTAGCCCATTTACCGCTACATGTGGTAATGTTGATTAACAACTAAACTGGCAAACTAATGAATAGTTGGTGTGTAGGCAATTGGTTGGATTAATAAACAGTAAAAGTTTTATCAAACTGAAAATGCGAACATAATTCCCAACAGTTAAGCGTTGGGTAGCAGTTAGCTCGGGTTAGCTTGGTCGGCCTAGCCTCAGATGAGAGGCTCAGGATTTGTATTGTTTTTCGTTGGTGCTATTGCTACACCTTTCCCTCCGCTTCATATCCCACTCTTTAAGGTGCAAACGGGACTTTTTAAACGCACTTCCATACGTTAAAAGGCCTCTGGCAGAAAGCAAGACGAACGGTAGTGTACGGCAATTAACTTAACATGGACTCCTAAGGTTAGTTGTTTACCTTTGTCAGTTGTCGCTGGTTAGCGAGCTAGGCTAAATGGCTAATGCATAGCTAGCTCGACGGTAGAGTTGAGATAGCAAGGAGGTAGCCCTAGATTCTTCGTTAGCAAGTTTTGCTAACAGATGCAGCTACGTTAGTTTAACAGAGAAAAATAATAGATTTCCATCCCATTCGTTGTGTTTCTTAAGGATAATCCTTTACAGCGGTATTCAGCTGTTGCTTTAAACATATCATGTTAAAGAACGTATGTACAAAAGTCTAGAATACAGAAAATAAGGAGTGTACGCCTAGAGAAATCCACTTCGATTTTGACTTGACGTAGGACGTAGGCACATCGTGATACGTCTTGACGCACGTTTTGTTTTGTTCCGCCCACATGGCGTTCCGTACATAAGAAATTCCAAACTTCCTCCATTGGTTGTTTCATTTACATTTATACATTTAGCAGATGCTTTGATTGAGGGAGATTTACGAGAATGACTTAAAAGTGAAGTACATAATAGTTTCCATTTTTCAAAAACAAGTTTCACACGTTTTAAGGTATACCAACTGGCAAAGGGGAAAAGTGACTGAGATAAGTTATTCATTCAGGAGAATTGACTTTTTCATGATGAATATACATGATGAATACATACATACACACACATATATATATATATATATATATATATATATATATAGAGAGAGAGAGAGAGAGAGAGAGACAGATAAGATGCAGCTTCATTCTGGAAATTAAAGTGCATCAACCCAGATAATTACAATGCAATCATTAGAGTCTGATATACTTGGAAACCAGGCTTTACATGGACTATTTATATTCATATTTTGCCATTACATGATTAATACATGATTATTTGTATTGCTCCCGTTGTTAAGTGTATTCAAGGGCATTCAATTGTATACATAGGCATTCATTTGATTCCAAGAACTATCGATTCAAGTTACTAAAGGTAAAGGAATTTAAGTATATTTTCTATTGTTTGAGGTTTGCAAATGTATTTGTTAATGGAAAGTGAAGGAATTGACACCTAAACTGTGACAGAGACAGACAATGTATGCCGAATATAAAATACTTCTTTTTTTTGTTTTCTTGATGCATTGTATGGAAAACAAAACAAATCTGCTTGATTGTTCAATGCAACACACAGGGGAGCTTGCTCAACGGTGTCATTTCACCTAACTAAAAAGAGGAAACAGCCCTTTTTCATGCTCCACCAGTGTGTTCGTCCTCCCCCTGCTATGTGAAGGAGGACCTTTTGACAGAGTGAAAGTCGCTGTTCATCTGTCACAAGCAGTCTCTGCAAGGCGTTATCAAGCTGAAGACTCCAAGACAGAAAAGGATCCTTTGAGAATGGTGAGCAAAGCTGACGAAATGGCGTGAAAGATTTTGTTTTCCCTCGAAATGTACAGTTTTTTGTTTATCTGTCATGTATTTGTATTTATTCATGCATATTTATTTAACATAACTCGTCGACCATCCCCCTTTCTTTTTCAAACAGGAAGCGACATTCTTGCATATTGCAGCAAAACATTTCCTGCCCTCAATATGTCTCAGTAGTGCTATGAAATTTTAATGCATTCAAGTAAAATGGAAGACAATTTTCCCTGAGTCAAACAAATTTATCACTTCACTCGTCTTTCTTTTTCTTTTTTGACTGAATTTACTTCTGTTTAGACAGAAGGTCAAGTGTTTCATTAAGTGACATATTTTGGTCAATGCTTTCCAGTATTTTTTATAATGTTTGGTCTATTTTTTGCAGTCAAGCTCTCTGGTTGTATGTGAAGTAGATGAAAGTCTGAAGGAAAAACTGAGAAAGTTCCGATTTCGAAAAGAGACCAACAATGCTGCCATACTAAGTAAGTATCTTATATACTAGCCAATTTATGTTTCTCTATCTTACCTATTTTACCCTTACAATTCACATTAATGACCTGAAAAAACATCAAACAGATCTTAGAGCCTGAATAATGATTGCTGTTTTTCAGTGAAAATAGACATGGAGAAACAACTTGTCATCCTTGAAGAGGAATATGAGGCAAGTGTGTCCCAGTGTGTGTATGTATCTGAGTGATGGATGTGAGTGAATGCTGAATTGAAAATAACTTACTCTCAACATTGTTTACCAGGACATTTCAATGGATGATCTGAGAAATGAGCTTCCAGAGCGCCAGCCCAGATATCCTTTCTGAGTGCCAGATGAGTGGAAACACCCATCCATCTGTTACAGATTTTTGACAGAGCATTACATTGTTATCACGAAAATGTTTGTTCTGAATCTCGAACAGTTAAACTTCCTTGACAACTGTGTAAATTCATGGTCTACAGCTACAAATATGTCCATGCTGATGGAAGGGTGTCCTACCCCCTTTGCTTCATATTCTCCAGTCCAATGGGTAAGAGGTGACAGCCGCCTGAATCTAAATGTAAACTTTCTCCATGTGTCATTTTTCATTTTAGCAGAACTCAGGTATGGTCAGATATTTTTTTGTCACATCGTGCTGGTAAAGACATATTATACATTAATATTAGTATACAATTTCACCGTGAAGTTCCTGGTTACTTACTATTATCTAGAAGGCTTTTAATAACTATTACAATTTTTATTAGAATATTTTAGAAATCCAATAGAAATATTGCTCTTCATTTGTGGGGCCGTTATGCTCTATCACAAGACCCACTTTACTGATACATTGGTATAATGAAGACTGCATCCGTCAGATTTGTTGAGGCGGTCAAATATCACTTCAAATTTGTCCATTTCATTTTGTCAGGGTGTAAGCCAGAGCAGCAAATGATGTATGCAGGAAGTAAGAATCAACTCGTCCAGGCTGCAGAGCTTACAAAGGTAATCATGATCTGTTCTTTATGTAATTCACTTAAATGTTGTGTGGTATGTACCTGAAAAAAAATTAGTCTAAAATATATATATATATATAACATAATATATATTTGTTCCATTCAGGCATATCCATAATTTAAAACCTTTGAAATGTTTAAACACTTTCAATCTCTATCCAACCAGTGAAGCCACATAGCAGTGGGATTAACCCATTGAGAACAGTCTTCACATATTCTTCAAATATTGTTTAATGTTTTGTATAGATGTTAAGTGTTATTGTCTGCTTATGCTTTTAGGTCTTTGAAACAAGAAATGTTGATGACCTGACAGAAGAGTGGCTGAAAAACCAACTGGCGTTTTTTCGCTAAATGTGCGTCCACCCAATATTTAATATCATCCGTCGTTGTAAAACACCACAGTGGATTTTATTTTGCTCGAGTTAATAAATCATGACCTTATTCTTAAATGAAATCATTTCTTGATCATATCCTAAACTTTTAAAATTCAGTAGAGTTGGTCAAAGGTTCCTCACAACAAATCTACAAAACGGGACAAAAGAGCGATCGACTCTTTGATCAAATCTGATTTATTATCAGCTTCAAAAGCTGTGTAACAACAGAATGTCAAAAGCGATATTTTTTACATGATCCTTACTGACAGACGACACAGAGGAATGGTGTACGAACAGCTATTGAGTAAAAACCAGGTTGAAAAGAGATGTCATCAGTCTGAAAGCAAAGAGCGTTTTACACATAGATCAAAAACGAAAAAGCCCACCTTGCCCCCGAAAAAAACAGGGCCACAACCTTGGACCTTGCTATTTGGCTAAATGACTGAGCATCGGTTCTGCATTTGGAGCTGAATGCTCATGCGGGACCGGCGGCTGTCCGGGCCTTATTCACTGTCACTGGCCTCGCTGGAGTCCGAGCCTCTCTCACTTCCACTTCCACTCTGAGCGTGAGTCTCTGAGTGGTCGCTGCTCCGGTCACTGTGTGCCGGGGAGCCACTGCGACTTCTGCTGGCCCGTCTGTTGTGCTGCTCATCCTCACTGTCGCTGCCCTCCTCCCCGCTGCTCCTGGCCGAGTTCTTTGGCTCGTTGTCGTCGTCGCTGTCGTCGTCACTGCCAAAGATCTCCTCCTCATCTCGCATTTCTCTGGTCCTCTCCTCGCCGCTCTCGCTCCCGCTGGCGCTGGCCTTCCTCCGCCTCTTGGCCCGGTCCTCCTCCTCGTCCTCCTCTTCTCCGCTTTGTTCGCGGTCTTCGCCTTCCCTCTCGGAGTCGCTCCCGGAGTTCTCTGCCTCGCTGCCGCTGCCCTTCTCCTTCTCGTCACCTGGAGGAAAAGCACATTAAGCGTCACATGGAGTTCATTTGGTTTAATTCTGCAACGTTTGTTGAAGACTTCTATGGTAAAAGATAACTGACCAGAATCCTGCATGTCTTTGTCCATGTCCATGTCTTCCTCCTCATCCTCTGGCTCATGGTTCTCCAGCTGAGCTTTACGCGCCTCCTGATGATCACAAGGAAGGGAAACATAAGTGAGCAATACACAACTAGTCTAATCTATATGTTCAATCAATTTTTTGTGTTCAAAATATGTTGTAAAATTACTTATTTTAATGTATTCAATCATCAAACGAGTGCAAGTTTACTTAAATGTTATTATAATAACAACAAATGTGAATATGGGAATAAAGAAAAATCCCCATCCTTTTGCAGTCAAAACTCAAACCACCTAGAACTGTCCAGAAAGCTGTTCACCGACCCAAAGATTTAAAAAAAAGGAAACAATAAACAGATAAATATAAGTGCCCACAGCTCACCTGGGCTTCCAGCTCCTTCTCGTTCATATCTCTGTGCTTACACACCAGCACAGCGTTTGTAGTGGACTGTGCTCCGGCCTTTGCTCTTCTCTTGCTCAAACGCACCCTGGAGGGCAGAATGAGAGTTGTTAAATAAAAAAAAACTGAACTAATCGAAAAAGCTACAATATCCATTTGATTAACTTTTTTTAAGGGTTACATCTTTTCAGCTTTTACATCAAGACACGAAAAGAATATTTGGGATGCCAATTTCCTACCTAGTCTCCAGCTCATTGTAGTAGACACCGTCTCCATCCCTGAAGATGAAGAAGTAGTTCTCCTCATAGCCTTTGCTGGCTTTGTTCTTAACGTTCCAGTTGTATTCTCTTGCAATCTTGTAGTCATACCTAAAACACAGAGAATACCATCCATGAATTCCCACATATGACTGATTTTAGTGAAATATCTTGTGATACTATTCTTTTTTGGGGGGGGGGGAGTGGGGGTTCCACTTACACATCCTCTGCCATGTAATCAACACCCTCATCGCAATCTCTCTTGCGTTTGCGAAGAGTGTCCTCATTTGGCAAGAAGTAGGCCACAAACTGATTTCCTTCTTCATCCATCATTCCTCTATATTATTTGAAAAAAGACACACAAACATTTTTGTTGAAAAAAATGCTGTTTGCTGCTAGACTCATTGCCAGTAGAACACTTTTGTGGATACCTGATCATGGCCTGAGACATCATTTCCACTCCAGCTGGAGCGGATATGTCTTTGGGTGCAGGATCAGAGTCAAAAATGACCTGAGCACATGGGTTTATCCACATCTGAGGAGACAGAAACATTTTACAATCCATTCAACACGTGAAGAAACCCCAAAATAAGAAAAAAAAACATATGAAGCCGCTTTTTTGAGGCAGAAGCTTACCTTGAAGTCAGGGAACACTGGCAGGACCTCCACAGGAGTGACTCTTGGTTTACTGTAGTGCTGTGCGATCTGTGAATAATGAGCAACAGTCAGCTTGTGTTTACAAAGTGTCACCAATCAAACGCAATAAACAACCTCTAATTTGCCCTAACACGTCCATTTGGAGATGACCCCTTTCAACAGTCGACTGCAATATTCATAGATGTTTTCTGGCAATTCCCCCAAAAAGCTGCAGCACAGCAGCTGGCCCTTTACCGAGTCTTATTAAATCCAATCGATCTAAATACATGGGTGTTGGTCGTCCAACAACATGCCGACTCACCGATTTCTGTGCATCCTCAAATGTCTTCTCAATAGCTGAAATCTGGCTGTCCCGATCCTTGTAGATCTCTTCTTCAGTGAACTGCTGTTTAACAGATACTCCAATCCTGAGCAAAAAAACAAACAAAAACACATGTGGCTGTGATAAACACTAACGCACACAAAAGAACATGTAACACTGATATGATACATCCAGGCGGGTCCATTTGTCCAACTTACTTGACTTCCACTTTCTCATTAGAGACACCATATCTGTTAAACTCTGTGGAGATGTATTCTGTTTTTCTCATCCACGGCACCACTTTGGCATGCTGTTGTGACCTAATAGTGAGAGAAAATAGATTTGTTTTAGATTTTGTTACAAGAGAACTTGAAATACTGCCCCTCATTACTCAGTAAGGTTTACCTCTTTGAACTGGATGGAGCCTGGATGTCCTCTTCCAACAGCTTTTCATCGGCAGGGTCCAACATAACTGAAAATACATTTCATCAATTAATTCCAACGGCATACAATATTGTAAAAACTCCAAACAGCAGATATAAAATTATCAAGTACAGGATGTGGCATGAGCTCACTATTTGAGACTTACTGTTGGGGTCTATGCGGTAGGTGTCCGGGTTGATGAGATCAATGGTCACACCCAGGTCTGGTTCAGTCAGGAGCTCATGTTTGTGCTGCTTCTCTAGAGAAGTGGCTTTATATTGTACAAACCTGCCACCACAGAACGACAAATGTTATGTCCACATGAGACTAAAGTCGACTGTCAGTTGAAAATGCCTGATAACTGTAGCAGCACCATTAGGAATCTGTCATTGCTCCTTTATATTCTCTTTTCTGTGAAAGTTTCTAACTTCACTTTCAGGCAGAGCAGACTCTTAATTCTTTGGGAAGCTTTGTTTTTTTAAGTTTACACCAAAACACTATTAAATCATCCTTATAACAAGGACAATTTCTTTTTGTAATCAGCTGGTTGTGCGTTTGGAACAGCTCTGAAACTGACCAGCTACAAAAGCTGTTAAACAACACCTACTGTACCAGCAGCACATTGTGTCAACAGAGTTTATCATTTGCACGCTGGGTTTCCGTCTGGGTTTATTATCGTGGCATTCTTCAACTCTGCGGAGTGGAGATACGTAATTACCTGTGCTGATCAAATGGATAAGTGATGAACTTGGGATCAAAAGGGATGTCCGGCAAGCTGTTGCAATACTTCACTCGACAGACAATTCCTGACCTGCCATGCACAAAAAAAGATGATGCAAAAGACAGAAATAAAACAATAATCTGAAATTAGTGTGTTTTTTTTGCAATGCACATGTTATAACTTAATGTAGTTGACTTCTATTAAATCATTTAATTGGTGGCTAATACAAAAAGATGGATCTCCTCACCTCTCTGGAACAGTTCTGTGAGAGGACGGCCGACTGGAAAACAAAAGATGTGAGATGTGTAACTATATAATTTTGAAGGTTGACATTACCATTTTATAGGGTAATTATTACCAATACGATTATTAATACCGTTTCAGAGAAAAGACAAACACGTCAATGCACAACCACCCATATATATTGAGTAAAATATATTATCTTGAAAAGATAAGTTTTTTTTTTACTACAAATCCCTTAGCTTAAAACGTGTTCTCATATCTACATTTAATTTAAAAGACCGCTAAATGTATTTTTTGCGACTATGCTAAAAAAAAGGCTAAATGCTAATTCAGAAACGCAATTGAAAACTGAGTAGACCCTTAAACCTTTGCGTTTCGTATCTACTGACCCATTAATCTGCAAACATTAAAATGAATAACCTTATGCTTACAAAAAGTTATCATACGACTGCCATAAAGGCAGTTTTGGACGTACCTGTGCCCGTCCTCCCGTTGAGCTTGTGTCTGAATCGTTGGAGCCATGTTTGCAAATAACTGTGCACAACTAAAAACAAAGACGTTAAGTTACTAAGAAAACCAACGCAAATCTGCCAAATGACGATCTGACTCCTCGGCTTTAGAAAACACACAGCAGTTAATCTCACACCGACCAAAACTACAGAGAACTCATTTTTTTATTCCCTCAGAGGAGGACGGGACGATGACCCGGCGGTGAATCGAAGTCTGCGGTTCAGAGTGATTAGCGCCCCCTGCTGTCAGGGAGTAGACGGTTCAGTGTAATAACACCCCGCAGAATGTAAACTTACTTCCCATTTATTTGGTTTACAGAAACAACACAGGTTTCGTTTATTCTTGTTACAAAAGACCAACAGGAAAAAATAAGACTCTAACATATTAAAGAATAATACAAATAAACAAATAATAAAAAAATGCAGGCTATACGGTAGTGTTATATAAAGTTATACTTTCCCTTTTTAAGACAGTGTTATTTTATGAATGCACTACCGTTAATAACTTTAAAAATTAATAATGTGTTTTTGGTCAACATTGATTCAAATACTGAATATATGATCCATCAGCTGGGGGATATATTACTATTAAAAACAAATTATGAAAGTTTTGAAAATACAGTATTTAATCAGAAGGGAAATGCCAAACAGAAAAAAGAAGTCTGAAAGCTCTCCAACACTGCCAGTATGTGGACAAAACTAGGAACATGTTAAGGTTTAATTAGTAGTCTGCAAGCTCAATTGACAATTTCATAACATTTACTGCATAAAAGAGAGTACTAAATGATAAGACCCTTTCTCAAATTGACCATTTTTGATGTTCCAATTCCTTTTACATATTCTTTACTGATAAAAAAAAAAACATTGAACCAAACAACTTGTTGTTTATTATAATCTGCTATGCAAAACACGGATCGGGCTGGAGACAGCAAACACATGCAGCTGCATAGAGGGTGTATTGCAAAGACATACGTCTCATGGTGAGTGAGCTGAGAGGGGAGTAAACAATTAAAACCAAAATTCACTGAACCGTTTCTGAGCCAGAATTTCTTTTACATTCAATTTGCTCCCACAGAATTAAAAACAATAAGCAGCAGTGAAGCTTTGCAGAGATCACGTGCATCTTTTATGCACCCTTGCTCAGGTCACGCCTCTTCCTAACTTGGTAGCATTAAAGGTGGGCTGTGCAACTCACAGTGAGAGGCAGTGCAAAAGAAAAACAGCATATGCCTTTCATCATTTCAGTCAGACAACTGCAGCAACCCTGCTTTGGGAGTGGTACTGGTAAAAGTTTTCATCCATTTCCACCTCAGGTTTGGACATCTGTCTCCACAGGGCTGTCCACTCTGTGAACATATACAACAAATCAGAGCTTAACTACAGATACATGTGGCTCCTTTTTAATCTCAATGCATAGAAAACCTAGTTACTCAAAATTAAGAGCTCATACCTGCTCAGCATGTATATCACATATCCAGGATCATCCGCAAAAATTCTGAAATATCAAATAAATGCTTTAACAGTATAGAATGTGAACATGTGCAAAAATAGTCCAATGACAGACATTGCAGGAGAATCTAAAAGTTTGACTGTTTGCAATTATAATATTTTTAATCATCAGCATATGGCTCTTTCCTTCTTTGCTCATTACACAATGTGTTTGAAACTTAACCGGAGGAGAAAAGACAAAACACTTCTCACCTGTCTTCCCATTGGTAAAACGCCCTGTCCTGGTAAAACATGGACAAAAACAGCCACACGCTTATTGTCTCGACCCAGAAGACAACAAACAGGAACCACAGCGATGACAAAAGGATTTCACACAACATGATGGAGCTCTGTGGGGGAGAACAGTCATATGTTAGAAACAAGTGACACCTTGTGGTGAACATCCATCAATCAATGGAACACCTGGAAAAATCTTAAAAAACTCTTTTGGAATTTACTTTGGGGGGAAAAAAATTTTAAAAAAAACGGGGGGGGGGGGGGGCATAATAAAACAAAATAAACAACAAAAAAAGAAAGAAATACTCAGTGACTGAGGGTACTGTATAATGACATCTATATATAATAGTATTATTGAAGTTTCACATATCTAGTTTTCTGTCTCCTCAGTTTAATTTGGTCTGCTTTTGCTGCATGAACAAACTCTGAATCAAATAAAACATGATTATATATAATATGAAAACAAAACAAAGGCATTTTGAATGTATATCAATAAAGTTTGGCATTGAATAGCAGCTCACGTGAGAGCCAAAAGACAGAAATCAGCACCCAGATTTCAGCAGATGGATTGGGGTTAGCTTGCTAGCTGGCACCAAGTATTGCTCCAAGAGGCGTAACCTACACATTAACTAAACTCTGAAAGTGTAAGTATTGTGTAACTACACGCGTTTGTTACTCTGCAAACGGAGACGTAGCTAATGTATGGCCACTTCGGGCTCCGCAACCAGACAACAAACTAGCCTATTTCTTTACGTTTTTGTCTACGAACGTACAGTAAACAAGGCTAACGCGGAAACAAGGACAGACGAGTTGACTTTGAATTAGGCCAGTCTACATACTCACTCAAGTCAGAGACATTTGAGACGGCATAACTTTCACGGGCTAGCTCGTTCCCAGCTGTTTACAATGCTCGTCACATATCACGTTGTGTTCACTTCCGCTTACGGAGCCGTTTCTATTAGCCGTGGGAGATTCCCAAGCGGTGGCCCACGGACCGTCAGAGGTCTCGTGATGGGAATCCTGGTGCTGCATTCTTTGTGAACCGGAACTCAGTTGTGAGGGTTTTCCATTGGTACCTCAGCAATTAATACCTACTCTACTCTTTTTTTAATCTTTTTTTTTTAGCATTTTCATTTGGGCTCCAAACAACTGCTCTTTTTTATGAATTCCACCGATTTTAAAAATATGGCAAGATAAAAAAAAATCAGATTTAATTATAACCGGTCATTGTCAACGTTGCAAATGTCTAATATTAGGTTTTCTCATTAATACCTTCTTAGTCCTATGTGGCTCTACATGTCTCACCAATGCCAAGTTTAGGTGGCGATACCCATTTCAGATGATGTCTATCACAAAGATGGACCAGTCAGTGACCTTTGCGACCCAAGCAGGACATAATGATGAGGAATATTGAAACGACATACTGTGATTCTTTATGTATTAGGTATGTACAGCGTTTATATTAGCTGATAGAAGTGAGGGATTTATATCAAAATCGTGGGATTCTCTGGACAATCAGCATCTTCATCCCTTATTGGGCATTAAATCAGAGGACATGCCAGAAGAGTAGGCCCATTTTCCAAGGCTCATCTTACCAAACTAGTACCTCATCATCTCTTCTCCTTTTGGCATTGCATCTGTGTAGCTATGCAGTAAAAATTATGGTAAATATTCAAATTAACCTTGTTGAACTCTACAAGTAGTTTTTCACAACAAAGCGCCAAATATTCTGAAAATGGCTGGGGAAGATGTAAAAACTTTGAAAATGTGGAGGGAGAAATATGCTCATCTGTTCAGTGCTGGCTGCACTTAAAAACAACACACAAGTTATACTAAAATTACTTTATTACAGATGATTTCTGTTCAATATCCTTCTGCCAACAAGGGTAAATACAATACAAACAATATAGTAAACTTGATCCTGTTTTTATTGTTTTATATCTTTTTTCCGCAAAGAAATTAAACCCACTTTTACAACTTTACCATTTTGTAGTCATCTTCACAATCCTCTGACATTCATTAACAAGCTTGACCATCTATACAATTCAATACAGGTTATGAGTTGTAGTGGTAATGTGCCAAAAAATACTGACATCCTCAAAGATATGCAATCTTTTCATCGCTTATCTGTCGACCCATCCACCGTTTTCTTCAAGGCTTTTACCAAAAATGTAGCCTCTAGGTCGGATCCAATTTGTCGCTATATTTCATACACATTTCTTGTCATTAGCCCAACGACAGAAGGAGCCTGGGAGATTAAACAAATGTAGTTGTGTCTGGGCCTGGCGACTCCCGTATGGCACAGTGTTTGACCATAGAAAGAATCACCATTTCCAGTAGCACTTCCATAACCCAACAAGCTCTCAGTCTGCAGGGTAATATCTGACTACAAAGTTAAAGTGAAACAATTTCAAGATAAACTAAGACTGGTGGCAAGGTCTGACAGACAAGAATTATCCAGAAACTGTCAATAAAAACTTAAAAGTTGGCATGCATGTGAGGTTTGTTTGGCCTGACATTCAAACACTTGGCTTTTGACGTAATGTAACAATCCAGTAATGATAAGTACATTCTAATTTCTTTATCAAACATGAATAAATCAGAGAAGAATTCAACATAAACTGCTTTGTTACAGTAGCTGGAGCTTAGCTGGCAATAAAAAGAGTTTTGGGAGCAAATAAAAAGTTATGGTGTTAACTATAGAATTTGTTGTGCAGTATATTCAAATCTAACATAGGAGGAAATAGATGCCAGCATTTGTTGAGTTCAACACGATATGATTACCGATCTGAGCAAGTTGCTCTAAAATCAGAAAGGAATGAGGATACGCACTAAAACTTTTTTTTTTCTTTTAAAGGTGCTCAGCAGGGGATTTTTAAACTGCAACAGTAATAATAAAAAAACAGCCAGTCAAAAAGTGGCATTTAAAAAGGAGATGGAAGCAAATACAAAGTACACTAAACCAAGAATGCCTTCGCATGTTCTGCATCCATACAACTCATTGCCCCTTTTAGAACAAAAGGTAACACATTTCCGTGATGACAAACTTTTAGGAATCATTTTCAGAAAAAGATTTAATTTAGTTTTTAAATTTGTGCTTCACTAAAAACACAAAAATCTAAAAAATAAAAAAGCCTTCTCAAAAGTTTGAATTCTGGCGTTTGGATATGGAAACTGTTGAATGAAGAAGCAAATAATGGGGCATGCACTTGCTTGGGGATAATTCAAGACGTACGAAAGCTAAAACATGCTGCTCAGAGGAAGCTAAAGCTGTAAAAAAAAAAAAAAACAGACCAAAGTGCTTTTGCCACCCACTGTTTGCATTTGGCTGTCTGAATGTGCATTTATTCAGAGTGACTCATGAGCATGTGTAACAGTTTCGTCTCAGCACCATTTGCCTTTTTAGAGTTATTTATCAGGGCCCCAACCTTTCCATAAAGTGTTCTAGTTCAGTAGCTCCAAGCCTGCTGTCATGGTCACGCCATTTACCTTACCAGCCACCTGCCTGCACATAAAGACTTCTCAGTAAACTTTGTTCAGATAGTTTTTTGGGGTACAATTGATCAAAGACACCATAGTATCTTTACCATTCTCTAATAAATCAAAGTAAGCCAGAAACATACAAACACATACAGACACTCAAAAGACAATAAAAAAACATCTACAGTCTTAAAACAAAGGGTGTAAAAAGCTGTAAAACTGGGGTAAATGCTTTCTATCACATTTTGCATATCAATATACACTTGGCCTCATCTGTACTTGGACTGGTGCTCCTCAAAATCGCAGGTTAGTTTGACTCTTCTACACGCGTACCAATGATACATACATCCACCAGGAGCTTTGCAAAAAGAAGTAAAATACTAATCGTATTAACATTAAGCTGTATAAAGTGCTTTGAAAAAGGCAGCAGTTATAAAAAGGCACTGAAAAAAGAAGAGATGAGCACTTTGATTGTTTCGAAGGCAGATAAGTATCTTTTTTTTCTTTCTTTTTTAAGAGTTCCTCCTGTGAAGACAAACAATGTTCTCTGCTGAGGTTTGAAAAGTTACTCCTAGAGTATCACCTACAGAAATGGAAATACAGTTATTTATGTACACAAGTAACTTTTTTAAATCAACATTTCTAAGATGTAAACCAACTTCACAACATATTCTGTGAATATAAGAATTCGGTGTAACCATCTACTGAAAAGAAATAGATCTAATATTTAGCTATAAACATTAGAGTGATGTAACTTATCAAAGCTGAGAAGGCACAGTATTAGTAGTGGCACAAGCCTGAAATTGATAAAGTGGATTTGTTTGGTTATGCTTTTGTTAGGTTGCATTTTGGTTAGTAATCAGAAAATCAAGCAACAAAATGATCATTGAAGAAAGGGCCAAATCAAAGTCACCACAATGACCATTACAGCAGGCTGGTAGGACCACAGCAAAACATCCCAAGTTAAATCTGCTGCGTAGTTTGTACTTTTTTTTTTTTTAGAACCTTCACAGAACTGGCCAGTGTACTTGTGGTTATGAATAGAAGGGTAAAGGTAAAGGGTCCTAAAGGGACCAAAATCAGTTTAATGTGACTGATTGATGGTACATTTTAAGAGCAGTTAACACATGTCAAAGGCTTTTTAACAGTGTTTTATGTGCAAAATGAGAGCAATGGCTGTGAATAGCACAAATGTAAATCCTAAAAAATAAATCCTCCGTAGGACAGACCTGGGAATAAATGCAAATGGGATTAACACATGGACACTCAAATTGTAATGTGGCATAAAATGATAGATCTGTGTGTGCCAATAAACTGCTTTGAGAGCGGGCTGTGCCTCTTATAAGCCCTTTTGACCTGAGCAATATTTATTTCGTCACACATCCACATCTGTACATGGGAGAAATAGTGGAGTAGTGTCACAGAGACAGCATTGTGTCCTGTTGGGTTTCTTGTATTCAACATTTCTGCTCAAACTGGCTCCCGCGCTCACAGGCAGACTATGTGTAGGACAGGTGTGACCCGTTGGATATCTGAGAGGTGACACTGGTACTCCTGCTCATACCCTGCTCACCGCGCCCTCCTGATGGTGTCCTCCCCATTGCTTGGGGGCTGTTCTGTATACCTCCACTGCCAAGAGAAACCAGAGATGCTGGTGATCCCTGGCTCCACGGTGGTGATCCTCCTCTTCTCTGCATGCCCTGCCCCCACCCTTGATGCATAGATGCCCCTCCGGGACTGGAGTAATATTGGTGACTGGACCGTGAGCTTGAACTTCGGCTGCCTCCGTGTGGCCCTTGTGAGCTTCCAGAGGGGTGTAGTTGCTGATGCTGACTCCATCGCCCCGGAGCTCCAGGAAAGCTGTTGCTGAGGCCCTCTGGAGAGATGTTTGAGAGCACCATGTTGCTGAAGCCCAGGCGCATACTCTCCGAGTCGAAAGCCTCAACTTCTCGGGCCTGGCGCTCCAGCAAGCTCTGGGTTCGTTCCTGGCGTTCATTCTCCAGCGACTGCAGCTCTTCCTCAATCTACAAGGGAAAGAGGGATGAGACAAAGACAGAAAAAGAAAATGTAATAGGGCAGATGCTCAAGGCAGCCATTATATAAAAATAGGGACATCAATTGTTACAATCTATACATTAAGGAAGAGAACCTTTTGCTCCAGCAGGGCCCGTCGCAGTGACACCCTTTGCTCCATGTCCTTCTTTTCACGGTCATGCTGGGCCTCTGTCTGCATCTTGATTTTGCTCTGGTAGGCATTGAGAAGCTCGAGCTCCTGCTGTAGCTGCATTCTTAAGGCTTGGTACTGAGATTCCTGAGTCTCGTCCAGACGTAGCTAAGGACACAGGAAAAAGGAAAAATCCCCAAATGTAAAATGCATGTACACGTGCGCTGGAGACAGAAAAGGATGGATTTTCAGAAGTGTTATTTATCACTTCTGGAATATCTGCACTCACCGCTTGAGTGGAAAGCATTTCATTGATGGACTGGTCATACTGCTCAGCTAAAATGGCCAGTTTACGATGCTGCTCCTGCTTCAGCTGCTTCAGGACAGCTTTGTGCTCTGACTTTGGTGTGGTGTCCAGCAGATGGTTCCTTAGTGCTTTATACTGTCTGGTCAGGATCTTGCACGTCTCCTGGAACTGCTTCTTGATCTGTAGCTCTTTGGACTATGCAGACAAGAAAATAGAAATATCTTTCCCGTTGAGCAAAGATATGTTACAGAAACTAAATGACAAGCTGCCCTGTATATGAACACGTGGACTCACCTTGAGGCTCTTGGGTTGCTGGCGAACCTCCATCACATGTTTGCGCCTCAGTTCTCTCTCCCTCCTCTTGTTGTATTCCTGTTGATTGGTGAGCTCCGTCTGGTGCTGCAAGCGGGTCAGCTCAGCCCTCGTCTTTTGGATAGTGTCCAGCTGACGGAACTCCAGCGCTTGCATGGACTCGTGTTGACGGAGAAGCATGGCATGTTCCAAGTCCTTCTGGGTTTGCCGTTTGTTTAACTCCTAACAACATGTACATAAGGAGATTAACGAATAAATACATAAAAGACAAAGCTGCCCAACAAAGCTGATTTAAATGCCACACTTCTCACACGGGGGCTTAGCAGCACTAACCTCTCTCACTAGATCCCGTTCAATACTGTGGCGAGCAATCAAGATCCTCCTTTTGAACCTGCGGCACTCCAGATCCAGGTACTGCCTCTGTCTGCGCTGGAGGTTGGCCTCCTCCTCCGCCTGGAAGTGTTGGAAGTTTTCCTTCTGCTTGGACAACCACTCCTGCTTTTCTTTCTTGGGCGTGGACTGATTTTCATTGAGCTCCTAAATGGGAGAGAGATTTTAAGCCACGTGACTTCATAGCTTCAAACTGATATTTGTTTGCTTGTGGAAGTATAATCTCTTGACCTCTTTCAGTTGCTCCTTGCGGCGTTTGTATTCCCGCTTCTGGGATTCCAGAAAGCTGTTAAGCTCTTTCTTCTGCTGACTCTGGATATGCTGCTGGAACTTCTTTTCATCATTGTTGAACGTTTTTGCCTGATAAACAAATGCACATTTTGTCATTTAAAGGTATGTTAGCCCTTATACAGATATAAAGATGTTTTCACACATCTTGTTTGCATAGGGCGATATGAAGTGTTCACTCTACTCCAGCAGGGTGCTACACTCCATGTAAAGCAATGGAAAAGAGACACAGCAACACAGTAGGCCTTCTTCATTTCGATCTAATGGTTTTAAATATGGTATAACTGAGACAGTGAGAGAAGAAATAAGCTATGGTGGCAGAACAGAGTAAAAGTGACCCTGTTCTCACACTTTAAGCGCTATAGATACAGTCCAGTTTTCTCACAATTGGTCCAAAATAATAATAATTGTAGCCCTAACAAGACAAAGGTTCTCAGGACCTGGTAAAAAAAAATCCTAAATTTTTATAGTGCTTAAAGGAAATTCCTGTACTAGAAACACAGTCTTTAGTGAACACGTGACAGAGCTGAAAGCGTACATCTTTCTCCATGGATGCCTGGTGTTTCTTGGTCAGCTTGTCAATCTCCTGGCCAAAGCTATTCCTCTGGTTCTCCAGCTCTTTGTCCAGACGGAGCATGTGCTCATCCATTTCAGCCTTCAGCTTGTTTTCTAGAGCCATCAGCTGTTTCTGATGCTGTCGCCTCATGCGCTTGTAGCCCAATATCTGCTCTCGTAACTCAGAATCCTGCTCATGCTCCTTAATCTGTCGAGTGAGCTGGAAAACAGAACACAAAGTTGTTGTTTTTCACAATTAGGAGATTATGCAACTGTTGCACACTCCCTCTATCCATAAGCATAAATTACTTTACAGCCTTCAAGTAAAACCATCTACAGATCATGAGGTCAGGTTGTGAGAATACATTTGCTTATTAACAACTTATGGGTGCAAATCACGCCTTGCAGACATGAGCAGTATTGTTACCAAACGGTTATTTAAAGCTTAATTGCATTTGATTTACAAATAAAATAACAGTATTGTTACCACTGAAGCTGTCCGTATAGTGGCAAACTGTTCGCGGTTCCTCTTTGGTCTTGGTGTGTGCGCAGGGGGAGACTGTGTCTCTGTTGGCCGGTTATGAGGCTCTGTCACCTCATTACGTCTCTCTTGTTCCTAGATGGTAACAAAAACAAACAGAGAAACATGTTCATATCAAAATCACTGCAATCAGGACCAATACATAAAATATGTCCCCCTGTGTCTCATAGAACTTGTCATAGTGTAAACAATAATACTCTAAATTCTAGTTAAAAGTATGTTAGAGAAAAAGGCTTCATAGCTCACCGGAACACATGAATCACTTACAGGTTTGAGGTGTATGACAGAGCTGTTGGACATCACTGTGTGGCCTCCCTCCATGTCTGCCTCAGATTTGTCATCTCCTGCATCTGTCAGACTGTTGACGGAGCTGCTCTGAGAACTGGCGCTGATTGACATACTGGGGATGGATTGGTTGCTCCCCACACTGTTTACTGTCCCGGTACTACCCACACTGTGCTCTGGCTCCTACACATCACACAAAGTAGGAAGTTACATGATGACAACTATTTTCCAATATAGCATACAAAGACTTCTTCAAAGTCAGTGGAAACGGTCACATGACAAACCTCCTCTTCATCCTGCACCTCAGTTGTGGGGCCATTACGGGATTCTTGAAACAAGATCTTCTTCATTTTGCGATACTGCAGATTGTCTAGCTCCCGCACTGCATCTTTCGTCCGATTTATCAGATCAATCAGAACCGACTCTGGTCGCTCACGCTGGACAAACGCATGCTGGAGGGACACATAACTCCATTGTAAATATCGCAAATGTTTAGGTCACTTTTCTGAACAGGCAACCAAAGAGGAGATGCATATCTCAGTCCTATTTGTTTTATTCTTACCTTTAGGAGCTCCTCGGAGTTCGGTCTGTCCTGTGGAATTTTCTGAAGGCAAGAATCTACAAAGTTCCGGAAATAGTCCGTCCTGCAGTTGAGTGATAAAATGAAGATAGAGTTTGGAATGTGGTCAGACATGAATCTCCAGCTAAATAAATTCTGCTGTCTTTGTAACTCACCATTCACTTGACTGCAGTGTTGGGCTCTCATTCTGTGCTATATGGTATAAGGCACTCATTGCATTCATGTTGAACAGTGGAGGCTTCCTCTCAGCTAGAAACCAAAAAGCATATTACAATACTGAGAGATGTGATGGCAGAAGAAGGAATCAAATAAATCTAAAATATTTGCAACAAAAGACAGTGATTCTAACACTGTAACACCAAAAAAGGTCCCAGTGTTAGGTGTGAATAAAGCTACAGGTTAATGACACTTACCTAATTCAATGCAGGTTATTCCCAAAGACCAAATGTCCACCTTTCCATCATACTGACCCTCATCCATAGCTAAAATCACCTCTGGGGCCATCCTGATATAAGAAAACACATGACACAGCAAAGATGTGATGAGAAATGTGCATAAATGTACATATATTAACTCTAAAATGAGTGACTCCTGACATACCAATATGGGGTCCCAACAAAGGAGTTGGCAGGACAGGCAATAGAGGCAGAGCCAAAGTCAGCCAGTTTTACCTGTCCTGGCTCTGTCAGTAGGATATTTCCCGCCTTTATATCTCTGTTAAAAATGAAGAAGGAAATCAAAGTTCTACACAGAATGCCTGTGGGTATAATACCTTGGAATGCTTCTTCACTCTTGCAACACTCACCGGTGAATCATGTCATGTGAGTGAAGATAAGCCAATCCCTGAAGAGCACCATGGGTAATTGCTGCTATTTCGATTTCTTGCAGAGGCTTCTTGTGAACTGGAAGGAATGTATCATAGGTGACATAATGCATGGCAAAAGTTGACAAAGACAAACATAAAAGGAAGTAAGTTGTAGTCAAGCGGCAGCATGCATTGCTTTAAAGTTTCTGACTCACCTTCTAATAAATCTGAGGCCGAGCCTAGACAATACTCCATCACCAGCTGCAATGAAATGTTTTCTTTTTAAGAGAATTTCCTCTTGTGTTTAATTTATAAATAAAAGATAACATTTGTGTTTCAAATTCTAATGACTGATTCTTAAAAATATTTACCCAAGCAGTGTGCTCTCGCAGGTAACATCCTTTGTACTCTATGCTGTTAGGGTGTTGTATTCTCTGCAGAAATTTCACTTCCTTGATTATATCTTGCCATTTCTGTAAAAACACAAAAAAAGAAAAGAAAAGTTTTCAAAAAATCTGAAAACCATGTAATGAGGTAGAGAGCACTGTCCATAGAGCTTCAAGGCATGTTTTGTCAATGAGTTCTGAGGGAGGACAACGGAGGACTTCTACAGCCTTCAAAGTGCCCAAAAGCTCAGCGGCTTCAATCACAGTTGGAAACCACCAACAATCTTTCAACATGTGCCAGCCTTGATGCAGACAAGTGGACAGAAAATCATAATCTTAAACCCTCTGTGAAAGACACAGAGCTTATACCAACATTTTATAGACTGATTTCAAGAAAACTCTGAAGGTTTTGGAAGGATTCTGTTGGAGTCCGTGACATAGATGACTGATGACTGACCCTGGAAGTGCACCTATGCTCCTATATAACCTGGAAAAACTTTTAGCCAAAAAGAATAGAAGAAACTTTAAACAAAAACCCTGTGCCACGCTAACAGAAATATTCTCAATAATAATTGATATTGTATATGTTGAGAACTTATGCATTCAAAATCTTTAAATAAATGAGTTATTGACTAAATCAAACCTGTTTTGCATTGCCAATGTGAGGATACATGAGACAACCAAAGGAGAAAGTGATAAAACTTAAAACTAAGCAAAAAATAAGCTTGTGAATGCGACACTAACAGACCTCAATTGACTGCTTTCCACTGTATGACATCTTTTTGATGGCCACCACATCATTTGTCCGCACATCCTGTGCCTGAAAGATAAGCATATTACAAATGAATGAATGTCATATTAATTTTGATTTCAGCAACCACTTAAGAATTATTTTTCTGATTTAAGAATGAACTGACTGACTGCAAACACTGCTTCAAATTGCTTTGGCATATTATTGATACATTACAGTGTGGTATACTCACATAATAAACAGCACCAAAGCTGCCATGTCCAATTTCATGCAGATCTGAGAAGAGTTTTTCTGGATCCTCCTTGAAGAAGAGTTCAGCAATTTCGGGGTCCTTTAGGCTCCCCGCCCGACTGCTGTTGGGCATAATTGGGAGTTGGGGGCAAAGCCGCTGTCGCCAGGAACTATCTGGGTCTGCGACAGCGACGTGAAAGCCCCCTCTGTTGGCTCATCTGCAGGACAGTGGTTTCATATGTGGACAATGCTGGAAAAGCAAGGCAAACAAGAATAGATAAGAACACAGGAACAAAGCCTTAAAGTTTAAACTCCCAACACCTTCACAATAAACAAAAATATGAATGACATATCATCAGATGGGAGTGTGCTTGCTGTGTGTTAGCAGCAGCTCCTGTCAGAATGAGAAGGGTATGCAAAGTGTTAGCTGAACCATAACATCAGGTGCAAAGGAGAACAAACATTATCATGCAGCTTGAGATAAGTCTCTTGTTTCCATAGCAACGACAACTACATTAATGAAACCAGTGGACAAGCACTGATCACGACTCTTCACACCTTCAATGGCTGGTATACAGAAAGGCAGACGTGAAAAAAAAACGCAAAGTGAATCAGATTATTCTGTGTATACATGCAGCCCCATTCCCATGGTAACACTAAGGTTTTTCCCTGTTTGAATAAAGTCTGGCCGGAAACAGAGCCTTCCGCGGAATAAACTACTTCGTAACCTCTACGTACTTTTAAAGGACACATTCTCTAATCACCATGTAATCTTACAGTAAAGGATTTGTTTGGATTGTGTTGCTGTTCTTACCAATACAGAACTTTGGGTCTGAAATAAGCAGATGATTTATTCCCATGTAAACCTTCCTTACTTGTCCAGAATTTATACCCCAGGCCAAATAGATGAAAAAAAGACTCAATGTTTACATAAGCATAGTAACACTTAATACACAGATCACACTGTGGCATGTCCACAGTGTTGTACTAATGCTAAATCCTATAAAAGCAAAACAACATGACAACAAGTAATGAAAAAAGGTGTGTTATTTTTTAGACTTGTATTCAGAAAGAAAAGAGAAAATCATATGGTCATTTGAGCAAGTACATAACAGTAATCTGCAAGTTTAGAATCAAACCTGAATGTTTTGTTATTAACTGCAGCCTTAACTGTCGACTGTAAAAGATCACTGAGGAAATTTTACTGAATCCATGGAGCTCAGATGATCAGTTGCAAACAGATGCAGAGCTGACGCTAGAGTCACAAGACTTCTTTCCCAGCCTGGGAGAAACAGCCCCCAGCTCAACCAGACATCTTTTGTTTCACAACAGTACTGAACAACCCACTATTCTACACGGATGCAGCCACAGCCCTGAAATAAAGCCTCATTACCACGTGAGACTGTGCCTCTTTATTGCCATTGTTCCTTACAACATTGTTGCCACCCAGTGAGCTTTGTTGTCATATTTCATGATAGCGTTTTCAGCGATGGACATGAAGAGAAGAGTGAGCAATGACAACTGATACCTTAAAAAAAAAGACTCCAAAGTGCTTCATCTAGCTCATACACATGCATAAGAATGCAGCAGGACAGGACAACAAAGCTGGAGGGCTGGAATTCCCAATGTATGCCCTCACTGTGCTGCATTTCACTGCATTTCCTGTTCGCACTGCTAAGGGGAGGTAGGGATGGGCCCTGGTGAGCATTCTGACAAGTGATTATCTTACTTCCTTCACAAAACAGCAAGAGCAAAGATGCACAGAAATTTACAAAGAAACTTTGAGAGGGGGGGATTACTAGCACAACTCCTAGTTGCCCATAGTTTAGACAGAGTTTTCCATTGGACATTACCTTACTGGCACTTTAAAAAATATAATGTTGGAAAACCTGTATTAAACTAAGATTATCATGCATGTTCCATTTTAAAATTAAATGTGTTAATATACCTTTTCTGTATCTCTTTAAATCACTAAAAACCACAACTACCCTTGGTTTTGTGAAATTTGAGTACAATTACATTTGAACTGATCTGGTCACTTGCAGTTTAGTCATTTTAAGCCCTCCAACCACGGCCCAAAAATGCATTATAACTGAGTTTGATAATGGCTGAGTCTGAACGTGTCTGTGGAAGTGGGTAGATTCTTGAAAATAAAGCATTATCATTGCTTTAAAAGAAGAAAAATACGTTTTTTTTCTCTCCGGAAGCCCGAAAATCAACCAGCCTTACCTGCCATGTTACAGCCCAACCTACCTGTGGGGCAACTCTCCTCGCTAAAGCTGGAGTTTATGATGAAGAAGAGAGTAAGAAAGCGGAGATATGATAAAGGCTGTCGCTTATCCACACGTGTTTCACGTGTCAACCAACAGAATAAAGTCACCCTGAGGCTAAAATGTGCCCAAAACAAACGGCAATAGTTTAAAGAGCTCCCATCAACTCAAAGTTGACTGTGATGTTAGCCACACACCAAAACTTTGCATTAGCTTAATTGCGTTTCATATAATTCAACAACTCAACATAAATTCATGTCGTATTTACAAATAAGAATAGTTTCTACACGCCTTCAATTCAGTGGAATACAACAACCGTTTGATGTCATTTCCGAGATGTGGCAATAAAGATGTTATATGCGTAATGCAACCTGTGTGATGATTGCTAAGATAGCTTAGCAAGTTAGCTCTAACTCACCCTCTTCTGACAGGCCAGCTTTCAGCGCCGTGGGGAATGTCGTACAATTCAAATCACTTTAGGATTTTAAAGTAGTCCTTCCGTTTCATGCCCAGCGTGACAACTTCTCGGTTCAAATCCTCGTGGCTCTACAAGCTGTCAGTCGATTATATCAAAGGCAGAAGTGAAGAATTAAAGGTTAAAAATCCACACCCTTGAAGTAACTAGGGTGCCACCGTACTTCGATCCCACTCCCAGGCAGGTCCAAAGATGGCTGCCGAGCGCTCCACCGCCGCCTCCCTTCGTGAAAATACGTTGGGAAAAACGTGAGGGAAGTTCAAACACCGCCAAAACTCCCATAAACAAGCAGGGTTAATATCCTCGATATCGTTAGGCTTACTGAATACGGGAACTATCTCACTAGTATCTGGTTTATAAAGTTAAAAGTGTGTAACTAACTCAGCCTGAGCGTCCGTCTTCCTTCGACATGCTGCAATAGGCAGTTCCGCCCTGCCTGTTGCAATAAACTCTGTCTGACCTAAGAAAATCCAGAGGCGGAGAAGTGGAATCATATTATAAAAACACGAGACTTGTAATGGTCAACCGTGTAGCAAAAAGTATTTGTTCATTAAAACAACTTAATTATTCTCCCCGATTTACTGTTTGTGTAATGTGGATGATACTGAAATGTGATTTACTGGGCATCTAATTTTTGTTTGAAACATTTTTTTATATTATTTTTGGTGATCTGTAAGCCCGCCTCATACATTCAGAAAAAAGGAATATATAAATGTACTACCTCTGGACATTTTCAGTGGGCATTATCATTAAATTATGCTAAACCTGTGTTGCAAACAAAAAAGAAAAAGAGACAAAAACTCCTAATTACAATAGGACCTGTCTACTGGCAACATATTATGTTCTGAACATGGAGATTTATATTAATGATGTAAGAATATTGGGATATTTGTTTGCTTGTCATTCAGTTTATTCTTGCAAGTGAAAATTCAACCCAGATGCAATGTTCCAAAGATAATCTGAGAAACTGTGTCTTCTCTCTTCTGAGCTCCCCTGAAACAAAGTGCTATGTGTTTTGCCCAAATGGTTTTGCCAGTGGGATCCTCAGCAGGCTTGTTGTTCAGAGGTCAATGAGAGGACTTTGAGGTCTTGAACTGTATTTTCCTCAAAGTTTTGAACCTGGAGCACTGCAGGTATCTCAAACAACTACCCAAGACTAATGAACTAAACAAAATTCTGACAAGAGAAGAGAAATGTGTTTCATCAACACAGTAATGTAAAAGCAGAGTGCTTCACAGCTACTTACCAAGTTTAAGGGCACAGGTTCATAATTAGATATGAAAGCACAATTTCGGTAAAGCGGATCCTTGTGAAAGTAATATTCAGAGGGATATGTAGTGCGAATAGCTCTTAGAAGATAAAAAAAGTCCAGACAAATTTCTATTTGCATGATCTTCTGGCAGAAAATGACATTATTAATCAGAGTGAGTTCTATCCCTACATTCCTTGGTTCAAGAAAACCAAAATGTAAAGATAAACCATAACCTCATCCAATAAATACAAACATCAGTATAAAATATAGAAACAGCACTACCCTCTCTTAAACAGGACAGATTGAGGTGGTTGAAGTGGTAAAGCGAGGATTGGGGATAGGAACCAAACTTTGAATGTCATTTTGGAATTCGTAGATACAGCATCCACTGAGTTAAAGAGGAAAGGCTCCATCCGGCTTGTTATCAGAGCTAAGTTCAACAGCTAGCATCTGGTGTGATGGAACATTTGTGCAAACACATTAGGGGAATATGCGGGGCAATCCAGATAATGTGTTGTCCAGGAAAAGCCTTTCTTTCTTCAGGACAATGTATAACCACATTCTGAAACTATTACAACAGCAAATCCCTGAGAAAAGCGTTATGCTAAACTGGCTCACTTTAGTGAAACGGACTAATTATACTCCATAAGTACACAAATTATTCTCTTACAGAGGAGTGCTGCAACACATGAGTAAATATGCATGTGTCCCATCTTTTTCCCATAAAACATTAATACAGAAAGTCTGTCTGCAATAATTCTAAATTCATATCCAATAATTTACCACCCATGAACTCCTATCTTAAGAACCATAAAACATTGCAATAAAACAAACAAAAAAACAATGGGTCTTGCAGTCTTTCAATGATTGTTCATCTTTGCTGTGTTACACACAGATAACTGTAACACAGCTTTAAGATGACACGTCAGACCTGCATTTTGTCTAAATTGTGGGAAACAGTCAATGAGCGAGCTGATTTGACCACCTCAAAGCACGAAGGTTTCCGTTTTTATCACTGGACTTTCTGGGTGGAGTTTGCATGTCCCCTGTGTATGTATGGGTTTTTCTGGGACTTTGAGTCTCTCCCACAGTCCAACAACATGTATGTTAGTTTGATTCTAAATTTGTTATAGAAGTGAATATGAATGTGTGGGTGTTTGTTTCTGTAACAAGTACAGCTTGGAGAGGCTCCAGCCTCCGTGCGACTCGGAATGGAAAATGGACAGCTAATAGTATAGGAGATCCATGAATTATTGCCATGGTTATAATTATTTCTTAGTCTGAAACTCAAAGATGCAGCAACACAAAAAGATTTAGACTTTCTTTATTTTTCTTAAGATTAGAAGCTTCACAGTTTTCCTCTTTCAGTCTTGAGCTTTTTTTCACTTTTATCTCCAATAGGTAAAACAAAGTATCTTGTTCAAGCATTTATATTCCTGGAAACTCCAGAAGTGGTTAGTTTCACTAGAAGAAGCATAATCATATAGTTTTTGTTTTGTTTGTGATAAAGAAGATTAAGTCTCAGAAGACAAAGATGGTAAGAAGTGATAGCTCTTACAAGAATGTAGAGATACATTTCCAATGAATCTGAAACATCATAGACAATGTAGTTTGTGAACGTGTTTGTGTTTTGTCACTATTCTGTGTAATACTAAAAGGGGAAAAAAACTAGAAGAAAATAAATGGAACATTTCTTTCCCCTTTTGATGAAGTGTTTACTGTTGGTGTACCTTTCTAAAGCGTGTTCTGTGTAATGTTTTTTTTGTATTTGATTTGTTCGACAGTTGATATAAATCTGAAGTTTAAACCAATGTAACTATCGTTATAGGGTTCTTATTGGGAAGGATAATTATACTTCCGGTAGTGGCTGAAGACACGCCTCTTTGGTGACGTAAGCGATAACGCGGAAGGAGCCGAGCTCCCACATGGTCAAGATGTCTGCAAATGTGGAAAAACAACAAGGCCACAGACCTGGCACATACAAACAAAAAAATAAAGGACATAAACATGGAAAACACCGAACCAAAGGTGAAATTGAAAGAGAAAACAAAGGTAAGCTGCGTTTATTTACGACGTGTTTCTCATGTCGTTTTGTAGCTCGTGACGGTGGAAACACACGTGTCTACGATCGTGAAGACCTTAAAATACATGTTTAATGCGTTACTTGTTGGTGGATCTTTTTTTTAACACCTTTTGATTATGTACAGTATGTGTTTAAACTCTTGTATGACGTTTCGTTTGGTGTCTTTGAAAACTACAACCTCTTCCAGTCGATCTGCAGCCATTTAAAACTTTCGGGATGACATACTGGGGTGATTTTAAAAAATGAATTAGGATGTCTCATAAATCATGCGTTTTCGAGAAATAATGAATCAATAACTTTGTACCTGATACAAGTTTTTGACCACGGACCTACCACATTGTACTGGAAAGTAGTTATTATCATTCAAGATGTAGGTACACATTGATTATCAAGGCCTGGTCATAAATTGTGCCAAATAAGCCAAATGCATTTGTCCCCCCAGTCTTGGCTCAACTATAAATGTACAACGCTATGTGTGTGAGGGACCATTAGTGTTCCCTTTTTTTTTAAATCAGACTAGTCGTCTAATTTGATGTTGGGTGGCTTTTGTGTTTATACAGTTGTAATAATAGGACCCATTTGTTTTTATTGCATACTTTGGCATGCTGCAGCAGAGTGGTGCATGAATAGAATGGTGCATAGACTAACAATGGTCAGGAAACCATCTATTTGAAATCAGAAATATTTTGAATAGGGATGATTCTATTTATTTTGTTTGTTTTTATGCAATGTAAACACTGGCACATTTGTCTTATAAACTGGCCAGTTTTCCAGAATGTGCCTCTGTATTAATGTGTATAAATATATATATATATATTGCTGCAGTTATATACCCTTTTCAGCTGGTCCTTAACAAACCTTGATGTTGAACTCTTTAACAGGGAGAGTGTCTGTAACCACCCTTACAAAAAAACAGAGGAAAGAGATAAGGAAGATGGACAGAAGACACAAAGCTAACCAGCTACGCAGAAACAAGAAGGACATGGTAACGTTTTAAGTAACTTGATTGGCGGTGAGCCCTCAGTTCCTGATTGATGTTGCAGAGTTGTTCTGTCTCTTGCTGCTGTAGGTCCTGACAGAAAAGCGGCGGCTGGGCAGCAGGGACGGCCCTCCTCACTTGGTTGCTGTTGTGTCCCTACATGCCGGAGCTGACACTGGGGCTGTTACCAGGCTCCTACGGGGAGAGGGTGCTGGAGGGGTTGTGCATCGGGAGGGCATCATCACTGGTGTCAAGGATAGCTTTGGACTGATTCTGCCTCGTTTTAAACAAAGGTTCATCTTTCTGAATCAGAGCACAGGTACCTTTTTGAAGAACTCTAGTTCCTCATTGTTGCTTTAAAACCTGATTTGATTTGTGGTATGAAGTTTAATGAGTTAGGTTTTCACTCATTCTTCAGTTTTTTCTGGGTTCTGTACCATTGGGTTTAATGTTTGTGTTGCATTTGAATGTAAAATGAGCTTATATTGTCATTTGATGTTAGGATTTGCACACTGCATGTTTTCAATGCTTTTGTTTTTCTGTTTTGTTGATATGATCAATATTCTTCCTTAATTTTCTTTTTCTCTTGGACAGATGACATGCACTCCCTGCTGGATGTGGCAAAGATTGCAGACAGCCTTGTGTTTGTTCTGGACTGTACTGAAGCTTGGGACAGCTACGGAGAACATTGTCTCTCATGCCTGTTTGCCCAGGGTCTCCCCAGCCACGGTGAGTATTCCTGTGAATACAATCCTTTAAGACTCCTTGCCTACACAAATGTACGTTTTCTAAGTCCTTATCTCCTGAACCTCCCCCCTTTTAGCTCTGGTGTGTCAAGGTGTGTCTGACATTCCTTTGAAGAAGAAAGTTGAGTCCAAAAGAGCTCTGTCGAAGATCACAGAGGCCCGGTTCCCTGATGCCCGTCTTTTCCCCCTGGACACTGAACAAGATGCGACTCTTCTTCTAAGACATTTAGGCTCTCAGAGACAGAGAAAGCTGGGTTTCCGTTCCAGGCGTTCCCACGTATTGGCACAGCATGTGACGTTTACACCCAACAGCCCGGCTGACGGGACCGGAGGTGGGCCCACTGGTCTGGGCACCCTCTGTGTTTCCGGGTATGTCCGTGGCCGCCCCCTGCAGGTCGACAGACTGGTGCACATCAGCGGACATGGAGACTTTCAGCTCAGCCAGATCGATGCTCCGTCAGATCCTCTTCCCCTCAACTTCCCAACCAGACCGGCAAAGCCTGGAAAAGGGGATGTTGAGATGCAGGTGGGTGTCTTTTGGTCTTTTGTAAAATGTTATTAACAGGAACATAAACTATAATGCACTGGTAAAAGTTAACAGGAGTGTGAGGCATTGAAAAGTTACATTTACAGAAAATATGTGTGGGAAATTCATGGGTACTTAAAGACACTAATCCGCAGAGTCAACAAGCACTGTAACACATTCATGTTATTTTCACTTTCATGCATTAATCCTAAACAATTTACATAGAGGATTTTTTCTGGAAGTCGTCTACATATTAACAAAGCAATATATTTCAACAGGAAGTAATTGGAATTAAACAAATTACATTATGGAATATATTGTTAATTATTATTATTGTTTGCTCTAAATATTTGAGGCTGTTCATTAAGCAGCCAGTGTATTAGTTTCTCCTTTCACACTGTCATTTTTGTGTCTCTTAGGAAGGCAATGAAGAGGAGGCTCCAGTGCGGGTGCTTATGAAAGCCGACCCCTCCTGCCGAGAGAATCTGCAGGCAGAAGCCGAGGTGGACCCCATGGATGGAGAGCAGACCTGGCCGACAGAGTCAGAACTGCTGGAAGCTGAAGGTGCAGAAACAGATTGCACTTATAATGACGTATTCCTTAATCTCTTATGTGAAACACATCAGACTGAACTACTTTCTGACCCCCCCCCGACTGCTGTTTTTCCCATCTGTTGCTGATGACAGAGGGGAATTAATTTTCTCTCAGGTTGAGGTTTATAAAAATCGAAACAAATCTCGTGAAATGCCTTAATAGTGTCTCCAGTTGTCTTAAGGGTTGTTTTCACGGGACAGATCAATTGTACATTAATGAAGGGATCTTTTTATGTTCTAAAAATATAGATTGAATATACACACGTGTGAACACTGACAATAGAAGATGAGTGAAAGGCACAAAGCAGAATACATCAATAAGATGAAGACAGTAAATCAGACCCCATAAACAGCTAATACAATGAGATTGAACCTTTTATAAACTGACATAGTTTCGAAGGTAGCTATTGACCACAAACTTCCAAATGTCTCATTTACGTTTCTCTTTGCTGTTTAGAGGCTCGAAAGAACAAACGTGTGATGAAGGTCCCCAAGGGAACGTCAGACTACCAGGCCACGTGGATTATTGACGAAGATGAGGAGAATGGTGACATTGATGACGATGACGAAAGCGATGACGACGATGACATGATGGATGATGCTGTGGAGGGAGAGGACGAGGAGATTAACTCTCAGGTACACATTTATGGCATGTCACTCTGAGAAAGATTTAAGGGAAGGTTTCACATCCCAAATTATCATCTTCATTTTTGTATTTTTCTAAATGTTATTGTCAAAAGAAAACAAAAGTAGTTTCTCCTGACTTGCTGCCAGGTCAGCTGGAATTGACTTTCAGGGTGAGCGTGTCCAGCTTCACCTGGTTGTTATAGCAACAGCGGGGCTGATGTTTGGCAGTCCAGGCCCATGTGGAGATGATGAGTCCACGGAGCATCTGTGTTTCCGGGGCTGGCGCGCTGCATACGTGACCCACAGTCAGTGCGCCTCCCCGCCGAGGTGCTGTTTGTTTTCTCAGCGTCTGTGTCTGGTCTGTAGTGCCAGGCTGCTCACCCCGCCGTAACAATAGTGTTTGGAGCAGGGGTCCCGAGAGAAGCCCCCTGTCTTCCTGCCCTGTGAACAGAACTTCCCGTCTGGACGAAGGGAGTGGTCTACCATTTATTTGTTTCCAACTGCTTGAAAAAGAAGTCGGGGAAACTGTCCTTATGCAACGGTTTCATTGCGATGAGTGATTGTTATTAGCATGCCATTGATGTCGAAGTTAGCACACCGGAATACGTATTTCACAGAGGGTAACAATAGGTGAAGGGGTACTTCAAATGATAATGATTATTATTGTAGTGGTGAGGATGTTTGAGAGGCTGTGAATCAACCTCATGCTGGGTGCTTTCCGCTCATGTCTGGCTTCTTCTAGCATTTGTCAGTAGGGTGACTGCTGGAAGGCAGGTCTTCTTAATTTATTTGCTTTATAAACGTAGTGCAAGTGGAAGCTCAATTTCGATGAGTTGAACAGGAATCTCTCGATTCTTTCCCTGGATAATTTCCAAGATGCTCCATTTATATTTCCTAAAAAAAAATCTTTTAAGCTCCTTATCAGTGTATCAAATAGGGATGCTGCTCCTATTCGGTTTGTTTCTTCCCCTGTTGTCTTTGTGGTTATCTTTGATTAGAATACAATTATTACCAGTCTTACTGACTGTCCGGGCAGACACAACATACCTTTATGTGAATTAATGAGGCTGCAGTTTAAAGTTTATAGCCTTAAAGTTTATATATTTAGAGATGGAGGCATTACTGTACTGAAAAATGAATGTTAGACAATGTCTGAGAAACAAGTACAGAAAATTGATTTTTTTTCTAAATAAGTGTTGATCAACTCTTACTTGATTGGAACTATTTTTTCACATAATTTGTGGTCTTCACTATTTTCCTTAAAACACAGTTTTTTTCAATTATATACTTCTTAATACTGTAATTTTCCACCAACAAGGCATTTCCATAAGACTATATTTTAGTGTTTTTCCAAAAAATGGAAAATTTAACAAGGGAAGGACAAAAGAATCCAAATATGAATCCAAATAATAACCTTAAAAATAGGAAAGAATGCATTAAAGCTCGGAAGCACGGCATGAGAAATCCATCTGTGCCTTCAGATCCTTTGACTGTTTTCTGAAGCCTGACCAGAAATGGTCTCCATGGAAGAACGGCTGTCCAGAAGCCGTTCTTAAGAAAGAGAAGAGAAAAGGCTCAGGTATGCCAGGAAACAGAATGACTGGACTGAAGTTCAGAGGCAGAAGTTCTTATGGAGGAATGAATCCTCCCCTGAGCTCAACAGTATGGAAGCAGTTTGGGGTCATCTAACTAGAAAACAAAAGACAACCAACATCCAAAGAAGAGCTTTGGCATGTCCTTCAAGAATTCCTGAAAACTCTTCCTTCCTTTTTTGAAGTTTAATTGAAAAAGTTTTGGTCCTTATTGTGAATAATAATAACAACAGATTTATTTGCATATTTTAATAAATAGTAGCAGCATTTTATGAGAAGAAATCCAAACTTTTTTAAACAACTTTGGGTGAAATTAGATGCTATGGTATTTCCGAGGATGGTGCAAGGATTATTTTGATGTGATCAAATAAATAATATATAAATAACTTTATTGCTAATTCATAAAGTAAACCCAGCTGCTTTTTTATGGTCACTAAAAATCTGAAATTGCGTAATGAATAAATGCATATTTACTGTATAATAGTTACTTGTATTCCTCATTCAGAGCTCTTCTGCTGGCCTATTAAATCAGATGTGTCTCATATTCCTCCTGACCAGGAGCCGGGATCAGGCTGTACTTCAGAAGTGGATGAGGACGGAGAGGATGAAGAGGAAGAGGAAGAAGTGTGCTCCACAGAGAGGACTGGTGCAGAACAGCGGTATGATGAGCACATGGATGAGGCGGCAGAAGAAGAGGAACTTAAACGCTACCGCGAAGCCCGATCTCATGAACTGTTTCCCGACGAGGTGGACACACCCCGGGACATTGCTGCCAGAGTCAGGTCAGTGTTTGCCTCCTTCCTAGTAGTTTTCATAAATGATTATATTCTTCTAACGAATTATTGTATGGTTTGCAGCTGCCGCTGATAGATGTTACTGTCCTTTTCCATCAGGTATCAACGCTTCAGGGGCCTCAAAAGTTTCCGCTCCTCACCCTGGGACCCCATGGAGAACTTGCCTCTCGACTATTCACGCATCTTCCAGTTCCAGAGCTTTGAGCGCACTCGTCGTCGCATCCTTGCAGAAGCCGCAGCAGAGGACGAAGGGGCCATGGTAAAGGAACGATAACAGTTTTTATGCACTGATGCTGGCTCATTGAGATATTGATTAGCTGCTTCTCCGTTTCAGAATGGCTGGTATGTCACCCTGCACGTCCTTGACGTGCCTTCCTCAGTGATGGAGAGCGTCCAGTCTGGCAAACCTCTGGTATTGGTATCTCTCCTGCCTCATGAGCAGAAGGTATGGCCACCCAGAAGCCTCCAGTAGACTCAAAAGTTAAGCAGACTGCGTGATTTTTGTCATCACAAACTTCTCCGGGCTCATTATTTTTCATTTGTGAACAGATGTCAGTGATGCACGTCCTGGTGCGGAGACACCCCAGCAACACAGAGCCAATCAAATCGAAAGAGGAGCTTGTGTTCCACTGCGGATTTCGGAGATTTCGGGCCAGCCCAATATTCTCTCAGCACACAGCAGGTTGGACATCTGTTAAATCAAACCGTCTCAAAAAATCCCAGCGTGCAGCAGAAGACTTGAGAGCCGTAAATGACTCATCAGCCATGCTCTAAATTTACTTCTGTTAAATGCTAAAAAAATATTGAGCGTTTACGTCTGTCATTTCCCAGCTGACAAGCACAAGATGGAGCGCTTCCTTCAGCTGGATGCCCCCACTGTGGTGTCAATATATGCTCCCATTACTTTCCCCCCCTCAGGAGTGCTGCTATTCAAGCAAAGGAACGATGGTAAGGTGGCGGATCCAGTTTGTTCCTTTATATACCTGGATTCTGTTAGTGTTGGACTGCCATCAGGTCCAATTTGACCATTTGTCCTGTTGGCAGTTTTTATGAAATTTAGTGCTTGTGCTGAAGTTTGGGTTCTTTTTTAATGTCTTTGCAGGCATTCAGGATCTGGTGGCAACAGGTAATCTGCTCAGTTGTGACCCTCAGCGTGTTGTGCTGAAGCGGATTGTGCTCAGCGGGCACCCGTTCAAAATTAACAGGCGCTCGGCAGTTGTCCGTTACATGTTCTTTAATAGAGGTGAGCCAATGTCCGTATTCATCTTTTACTACTATTACGTGTGACACCTGTGCTAAAAGGTGTTTTTTGTTTGTTTACACTACAGATGACATCATGTGGTTCAAACCAGTGGAGCTGCGGACCAAATGGGGAAGGAGGGGTCACATCAAGGAGGCTTTAGGTGAGAAAACCAAACTCATTGTCTGCCGTCGACTTGAGGCATGTCTTCCTTATCCACTGTGTTCTCATCGTCTTTTTTTAAACTTTCAGGAACACACGGTCACATGAAGTGTGTTTTTGATAATCAGCTACGCTCCCAAGACACAGTCCTGATGAATTTGTACAAGAGGGTGTATCCTCGCTGGACATATGACCCGTACGTGCCCTCATCTTTACCCTGGTTCAAGAGAGAGGCCACTGTGAACATGGATGACGTAGACATGGAGTAGTTAGGGAAGATGAAAGGATGAAAGACATGTGCAAACATCAAAATTATTACATGACACCTTCAAAATGTGTAATATGTATTTAATAAAGCATCCACAAGTCTGAAGCCTGTAAGTCGCTGCTGCTTTTTTCACCACTAGATGGCAGTCACCAATAACTATAAACAACACTTCCTCACTGAAAAGGGTAAACAAACTGACTATTAATACCACTAAAGAAATAGCTGTGTGTTTAGCACTTAAACGATTAAACAAATCCTAGGGCTGTTACCACAACAACTTGTAAAAATGTGAACATTCAGTCACTGAACATGCTCATTACCCTGGCAACTCTTTGAAGTTATGCATGTGTGGCTAAATGCCTGCAGCCAGATTAAAACGTACGAATGGGACAAAATAATTATACAGATGATGTGATATTTGAGGAACTGTAATCATGGAAGAAGAACTCCCAAGTTGTACTTAAAGCACAAATCTTTGCCTGCAATTTCTCAATGAATTATTTATAAGAATGGAGTAAATAGCAGCTGTCAAATGTATTTATTTATCTTTTTATCAGAAACATGCCTCAGTAGATTTGAGTGGAAAAAAGCGGCTATCAAGAAGTAATAAATCAGCAGCCTCAGAACAAGTTTATAGTAGGAAATGACAAGCAAAAAATGGAACAATAATCTGGTTTAGTTCTTTTAAAATCCATGGCAATGCCAATATTACTTCACTGTGCAGACAACAGGGGGATTAAAGATGTAAGTATGATTATTTTCCAAGCAACTGTTTCTATACACTACATTTCCCAAACAAGAATTGTGCCAAAACTATGAATATTTAAAAGTGTGAGTACTGATAATGCTTTTCATCTTGCCAGCAGTCCCTTACACGCACGGCTTTCTGTCTCCACGGTGGTCTTGCTCTGACCTCTGACCTTCCTCTCAAATCCACTCAGCACACACTCGGATCACGACCTCTCTGCTGGTTTGAAACTTTAGCTTAATGTTCCACAGTTTTGCGTCCTTTTCTGCCCCGTACTTTTTTTTTGCTTAGGAAAACATTGATTTACGACATGCAATATTTATCATAAAAACTGAACCCTCGCATGGCCTGCAGCAGCATGATTCATCCTCGGACCGAGCTGGGACTGCACCACAGAGGCATGCCAATATGTCTGGGAAACCAGAAGGTGAAGACTTTGGGATGGAGAGGAGAACATGATCCAAGAAATGGAGGCAAGCTAAAGTTCAATCTGTGTTTTTTTTGATTTTGGTGGAAAATGTGGAAGAAAAACAGATAATAGAATTGAGAAAGATGAACGTCTCTATTGCCCATGGGAGCCAATCTGGCAGTTCTGGATACTTTTGTGGTAACACTCAATTTATTTCATACTTTTTTTTTTGTCTAAAATGTATTATATGTAATATAGGAGAGATACATAGCTCAAATGTGTTGAACACATCTTGCTAAGGCTGCGTGGAGGGGTACACATTGCTGGCTGCTAGTCCATAGTAAGAACAGGGGGCTTTCAGTGCCCAAACGATGAGTGTTCTTACACCAACGCATATAAAAAAAGGGACTGAGTTTAGATGCTTACTTTGCACGTTTTTTTTCTGACACTATCAATTTGAAACAGATAAACATTTTGCTGCTTGGGGACCAGCAGCAACGTGGTAAGACTGGCTCCAACCCATAAATGAGGAGTGTGTTTTGAACACAGAGGATGTGAATGCTGGTGACTTAGTGCTGTTTGGATGAGGAATGTATTGTGGTTCCCAGTTCACTGCCACCACACTCAGTTGGCTCTCCCTGAAGATATAATGGGTGAGAAATTTTTCCGTTGGATGTGGATAAAGAAACGGAAGAAGAGAAAAGGGGCAGGGAGGGAGGGACAGATAGGGAAGAGCAAGCTGATGTTCAGCAGAAGTAGAGGCAGGAAGCAGTCAGAGGAATGCAAAAAAAAACAAAAAAACAAAGACGGGATGCATAAAATTAGGAAATTAAAATAAAATGCTGGTGGGTGAGAAAGAGAGACGGAGAGAGTGAAATGGAGGAGTGTGAGAGTTTGAGGCAGAGTGGGCGAGGGAGTATGAGAGTGAGAATGGCTGGCGTTTATGGATTGCAGATGTGGTGCATTGGGGTTTTGGCAGGGGCCGTATACGCCTGAATCCTGCACCGGCTGGGTGGCACCGGGGTGAGAGGGAGGTCACAGCACCACAGCACACAGCCCATAAAACAGCGAGTAGTGGGGGAGAGGAGACAAGGACTTAGCTTGAAATCCTCACTAACCCAGCACCGAAGGGCAGTAGGTTCGCGCAATTTGGGTTCAATCACACACAAGCATAGCCGAAAACTTCCTGTGTAATGAGTCAGGCTGCCAGGAAAGTCGTGGGTTCGTTTGTAATACTTGGCTTATCTCAAATTAAAAGGATGAGCCTCCTGTAGATACGATCCGCTCGTTTGCTTTATAATGCTAAATGTATCCCATGTTGTTTTAACGAGGGTCCTAAAGTGCCACTAGCCAGCCAATAATAGAGGAAAAGTGTTTATCCATGTGCATGCCCCTTTTCTCTATCCCCTCAATAGATGGTGGACTCTGAAGCAGACCACACATTGAAATCATACATAAAAAGCACTTTATTTTCAAATGAACTTTTTGCTGGGGATTAATCCAAACAATTTAGCAATTTGCAATCAGTAAAAGGACGTAAAACAATTTTGTCAATTTTGTGTTGTCGAGTTAAAAAGAAAAACCTTAACCACAATAATCATCCTCGTCCTATAATGACAGCTTATCTTTCATCTTCAGAATGACAAACCCGCAACCTAATGGTTTGTTGGAATTATTGGATTTGATTGTGTATTGTTTTTATTTCATCCCAGGCAACTTTTTAAACCTCTAAACTTGCACCTTTAGCTCTTAATGTCAAAAACTCAAATAGAGGAGTATCCCTGGGGAACAGGGATCCATCCAACTAACAGGACGCCAAAGATTTGCGAAATACGTTTGTTTCTCATTTTATTTAGCCATCCATTCCTATCCGTACACTTGTGCACATCTACATAATGATTAACTGTATTTAGAGACAAAAATTGTCATTCTTTACTCAGTAAACATTCTGGTACATTTACCAATGTTCTGATCATTGGGAATGCAGGAGTAACCAGCTACTAGAGCATGTCCAACGTGGGAAGGGGGGATAATGTTGAAATATTGTGTAATCAATTGAACATCGGCAAAAACTGCAAGTCAAAGTCTCCAGCACTGTGTCCAGCTCCAGATAAGAGAAGCAGCATGAAGTAATGCTGCATAAAGTCAAACAGGCAAACAAACATCAAACAAGCCAAGTGTGTGACATTCTGCATAAAACCTATGATCAAATCTGATTATTTCTACTAATCTATCAACAGAAAAAACTAAAAAAGTTTTTAAACTGCTGCCTTGATTGTCTTCTGTAAAAGGTGGGTTAGTCAGGTTGTGACAAATGTTTGTTTTTCTGTTTGAATCTTTAACAGTTTAGCTGGTTGAGTGAAGTAAGAATTTAAAAATAACATGACCAGACTCATTTTAGAAACAAACTTTATGCCACGTTAAAACCCCCTAAAAACATCTACCGTGCTCTCCAGTTCTACAGGTTCTGCCTCACAATAATTGCATATTAGGCCAGTTCTGTTTTTCTCTTTCTTTTGTGATATCTTTCCTTCTCTCTGTTGTTCCCCCTTTTTCTCCCTCTTAGCCTGGTCCTGACTCCCTGGTTCCTGGGGCCTGGCCAAGGCCTACGTCCCTGGAGGAGCCAGAGAGGAGATGGAGAGGGGGCAGCTAGGGGGTTCAGAGACCGACTCCAAAACCACAGCTGCATCAGCCCCTCCTCTTCACTTCTCTTCTCTTCTCCTCTCCTCTTTTCCTACCTCCTTGCCCTACCTCTGCCATTAATCAGATCGAAAAGGGTATTTCAGTGCATGCGCTTTTGTGTGTGAAACAGAGAGATATTGACTATTTAAACGGCTAACTAAGTGTTTACGTGTATCTGACTCTGTCCTGATAGAGAGCTGGATGGGCTGGTGGTAATGGTATGGAGACCAGGATTTCACAACAAAGCCTGTGAGTTCTCCCAGAGAACAAAAGGGGTGGGAGGATGAATGACAGACTGAGAGCCTGGTGAGCAGATTGACGCTGCCAGCAACGAGGAGGAAGATGATCTGCAAAAGTTTTAGCATCTCAAGTAGAGGCTATGACATCTTTATATGACTTAAACTGTATTAGTAACAAGCCAAAATCCTTTGGATTAAGGTTATTTTGGACAAAAGCAGTGAGAGTGCACCTGCGCTTGCTTAAAAATGTGTAGCAGGCACACAAGGCCAACTGTCCATGACCCGACATGTTAACAAATCACATCAAGATTCCCTTCAAGGTGTGGCTGTCTCTCTACTTCCCCTCCTCTGATTATCCAGGTGGGAGTTAGATTTTTTTTTTTTAATCCAACCTGCTCTGCTTTCGACCCCCCGATGGGCCTCCCAGAGTGCTTTTCTGTTGACATCACTTCACAAAGACCTGGCAAGCCAGTCTCTCTGCTGCTCTATCATTCCCTTCCCTGCTTCCTGCCCTGATGATGTCACACACCATATGGTTTTCAGCAGTATTAAGCCGGAAAAGTGATTTAGTCAGGGGAGAAGAGAAGGAGAGAAAAGGAGGAGGGCTGGAACAGGGCACAGGTTAGACACAAAGAAGGAATGGCTCGCTCTTCCTCTTGTGAGCGCTGTAAGTGGAAGGTAAACAGGAGGAGATGGGTAGAGGAGGAGGTGAGAGGACGGGAATGCGTTGTGTGAGACTAATGAGGAGGGACCAGGGAGCAGAGACCATGCATCGGACAGCCATGTGTTGCACAGACCCTCGCTGGATTGGCCAGAACAAAAACAAACACGCATGATGATGAGACACACACATTTTAACATAGTCACACACACACACCTATCAAGCAAAATGTTGCCTGACGGAATCTTTTTAAAATCACATTTGCAGGTGTCAGGGTATCAGTTGTTGTCTCATGTTATAATGCTGTAATGAATTGTTTACACTACTGACTAACAAAATTACTTGTTTGTGCAACAGTTTAGTTTAATTTGA